ATTTAAAGGCCAGTTTAAACTACACAGAGAAACCCTGTCCCAAAAGGCAAAGACAAGAACCCCCAGAATAATCAGATAAAAACCTTGTAAAAAGAAAAAGTTGTCATCCAAAAGTCCCAAATTGCATTCCACAGGGACAGAGCCATTTTGGAAGCGGGGCCATGGAAAATTGAGCTGGGCATTAAATACTAATAAATGTCAGTTAAGGCTATGAGACTGAATAACAGAGTGCTAGTTGTGAAACAAAACTCTTATCTGTTAGAAATAAAGACTCAAATATTTATGGGAAAGCATCATGACAGCTGGCGTTTGTTTAAACTACTCCCGAGAGAAAAGAAAAAGGCGCAGGGGAACCCCGGACTTGATGCCAACTGCTGAGGATGACTGATGAGTGCTTGAGGGTTCCTGATAGCAACTGCTGTGGAAAAGATGGAAAACTTCCCTCCAAGAGGAAAAACAAATTCCCACAAGAATGTCCACAAGGTTCTGGCAGGCCACAGGGTAGGAGAAGCGTGCCTATTGGACACCGAGAGCTTCAAATGTCTCCAAAGTAGCCCAGGCAATGGGTTCCAGATGAGTTCTGTCTGGGAGCTACAGCCAAAAGGTTGCCAAACTTCGGAATTTTATTTTCAAGAGAAATTAGAATCCAGGATGTTTAGATGGAATTAATTGTATAATAACTGACATTTCCAAAAACAAAGCTTAAGCCAAGGAAAACATGTTTGCTGGTTGAGTTGCCCAGATTGTAAACTTGAGACCTCTGTTGGAGTGATGGGGACAACTGCGAGGTCCAGAACCTAAGGCATGGCGACAGGCCCTGCTCTTTCTGTCAGGTTTTGGGACTGTTTTGGAACTCATAATTGAGTTCCTGCCTTGGCCTTCTAAATGCTGGGGTTACTGGTATGGTATATGTCACTATATCCAACTCCCCTAAACTGTGTGTGGATTATGGGTAAAATGACTCACCTCATCAAACTCCTGTTATGTCACTAAAATAATAAGAATAATCCCGTCTGCTCTTTGGGGGATTAAGTAAAATCATGCTTAGCAGAGAGGCTGGCACTATCCATCCATCCATCCATCCCTGCCTTCAACCTATTACTGCTACTTCAGGGCATTCCACCTCTAACAAGCCTCCATCTGTGGTGATTCTCTGAATTGTTCCAAATCCTCTCAGCTGCACCCATATTTCTAGTTATTCCTAGTGCAGTATCTTTTTTCTTTTCTTTTTTTGGCTTTTGAGACAGGGTTTCTCTGTGTAGCTTTGGAGGCTGTCCTGGAATTAGCTCTGTAAACCAGGTGTGTACCACCAATGCCCGGCCCCTAGTTTGTCCTTAAGATGGCTTTCAAGCCTAAGAGGGAGGTGACATCAAGGTGCTGGTTAAGAGGCAGGATCCCAACCCTGGTAGCTGGTCTTCGGGCTGTTTAGCTGTTCCTGCATGGATAGTCCAGGATAGGACAGACACTGAGCTCTGGTGACATGGGGACTAAATCTGTCACAATGAGATGGAGTCTTGTGTTGCTTGGCCTTTGTACTTCTAGACAAACAATTGCAGTGGACATACCAACTAGACATGCCACTGTAGGAAAGACACCCACCCGACTGTGGTGGAGCACACCTTTAATCCCAGCACTCGGGAGGCGGAGGCAGGCGGGTCTCTCTCTGTGTGAGGCCAGAGTGAGTTTCTGGACAGGCTCCAAAGCAATACAGAGAAACCCTGTCTCGAAGCTCACCCCCCCCACAAAAAAAAGAAAAGGCAAACTAGGCTCATCCTTATTTACAACTAAACCTCTGTTTCTCTAAGACTGGGCTATGTCCCACCTGGAACCTTAACTACCAATGGTTTTGTACTGTCTGTTACAGGAAACGGCAACCATACCCTTGTTTCGAAGCTATTAGAGCCATCTTACAACCCTACCTTTGTTTGAAAAGGTTATGACTACCTTGACAACCCTGCCTGTTTCAGGTTAGGACTAACTTGTTATCTTTCGTTCTGCTCCTGTAGCCCCAAAGACGATTTTGCCTGCCACACTCCCCATTTGGAAACTGCGCTATAGAAACCTTGTCTCCCTCCCTCTTGAACAATGCCTTAATTAATTTTCCCATGATGATTTGGGTCGGTGGCCTTTCTCCTCAAACCTTTGGGATTAACACTCTAAACTTGAGTGTTATAATGCTGTCCTTCCAAAGGCTTCCACTGACCGCCTCTCCCACCTCCTTAATACCATCCTGGATGCTGGAAGAATTTGTGGGACCAGGGACAAAAAAGCAAAAAAACAAAAAAACCCCAGGCATCCTGTTAAGTTCCACCAGGAAGGCAAGAGGGTTCTGGAAGACCCTGGAGGGTCACAAGAGTTCGAAGAAGCGCAGGGTCACGAGACCCTTACGGAAGAACTATGAAATACGGAACTCTCCGGGAGAAGCCTCACGGGGTGGCGGGCCGGGAATCAGGTGGGCCCTGAGGATCATGGGAACTCACAGGCCCCTGAGAGCGGACGGAGATCTGGGGAGCAACACTAGTGTATTCAGACAGGGCGGGCAGTCACAGCGACTTCTAGTGAACTCGGGCTTCTTTCTGAGCACCAGCACCGCCGGAAACCCGGGGCTTCCACCCGCGGCGGGGATCACGCGAGCTGAGGGGGTGGGGCCTCCGGGGCCGCCGCAGTGGATGACGGGAGCGGGCGCCCAGCGCGCCCCGTAGGTCTGGAGGCGCGGGTAGACAGCGGCCGCCGGGCAAGTTCTCACCAGTGCGCATGCGTGGCTCTCCGGCACCGGTCCGTACTCCATCGTCGTGAAGATCTCGCGGGCGCAGGGGCCTACGCGCGTTGCTGCCATCGCTCGCCGAACGCCCTCCTTCCGCGAAGGGCTGCCGGACGTTCTGCCTTGCGGAACGCGGAGGGCCGAAGGGCGGCGCCGCCCACGCCAGCCGAAGGGGCGGGGCCAACAAGGGCGGGGCCGGGCGGCGAGCCCTAGGGCGTGCCCCGCCCACTTTAGAGCCACGCCAGGCCTTCTGTGGACGGACGCTGGGAAATGTAGTTTCGTAGACAGCGGAAGTAGGCGCCCGGCCTCCGCACTGGCAGAAGGGCTCCGGCTTTGGAAGGACAGCATGTTGTCATTTCGACTCTTTAGACAAAATAGTTTTGTTTTGTTGAGATGGGGTCTCACTATGTAGTTCTTGCTGTCCTGGAACTCACTCTGTAGACCAGGCCGGCTTAAACTCAAAAAGGTCCGTCTATCTCTGCCTCCCGAATGCACGGCCACACCTGGCAGAAAAAGAAAGTGTTCTTGATGCCTTCCTGCCTCAAAACAGTAATTAGGGTTGGAGGTAGAAAGAAATAATTGGAGGCAGGTAGTGCAGCCTTTAGTCCAAAATCCATTAGGGAGCAGGGGCTGGCACTGGGTCTCACTGATAGTTCGCAAACAAATTTTTGTTTGTTTTGTTTTTAAAGGTTTCTGTGTAGCCCTGGGTGTCTTTGGAAGGATTGGAGTACCAGAGCGGTGGCGGCGGCGCACTTTAGTCCCAGCACTCGGGAGGCACAGGCAGGCCGATCTCCGTGAGTGTGAGGCCAGCCTGGTCTGCAGAGCTCCAAATCTAAAGAGAAACCCTGTCTCGAAAAACAACAACAACAAAAAAGACAGGGAGAGGGGGCAAAGAAGAAGTGGGGTGGGATTTTTGCCCTGGAGGTGCCGAGGACTGCCTCTGGATAGAGTGGAGGCAGGCATGGCCCGTGGGCAAATGGGGGAACTCCGTGTTAGGAAAGTTGTTTTGTTTTTTAAAATAATCTTACATAGACTTTATTTTTACTTTATGTGTACTGCTGTTTTGCCTATAGGTAGCCTGTGTGAGGATGTCAGATCTTGGAGTTACAGTTGTGAGCTGCCATGTGGGTGCTGGGAATTGAACCCCATCCTCTGTCAGAGCAGCCAGTGCTCTTAACCACTGAGCTATTTCTCCAGCCTGAGTTGCCTTGTTTTGATTAGCCATGTTAATTAGGGTAGCCCAAAGGGGACTTTTGATTGGTGCTCAGCCTCAGGAAGTGACCAAACAAGGGAATAGACCTTGGTAGCTGGCTTTAGGAATGTAATCTGTGGTTTAGCAAGGGAGAGGGAAGGAGGAAGGATAGGCCTGTTAGAGCAGTCCTAGAATTTTCTCCAAAGACCAAGCTGGCCTCCAACTCAGAGATCCACCTCCTTCTGCTTCCCAAGTCCTGGGTTTAAGGCGTGGTCACCACTCGGCTAAAATTAGTCTGCCTTTTACTTGCATAGGTGTTTTCCGGCATGCATCTCCTCGCCCCACGTGCATGCTTTGCCAATGGAGGCTAGCGGAGAGTAGTGGGCGGGGCCACTGGAGCTGGAGTTACAGGCTGTTGTGAGCCACCCTGTGGGTGTGAGGCGCTGAACCCAGTCGTTTACGAAAGCAGCGTGTGTTCTTAACCACTGGGCCATCTCTCCGCCACTACTATTTTCTTTACAGCAAGCAAAGATTTGCTTTTATTTTATGTGCCTGGGTATTTTGCCTACCTGCACGTCTTGTGCATCAGGTACATGTAGTATCCCAGGAGGCCAGAAGAGGGCGTGGATCCCATAGAACTGGAGTTACAGGGGATTATGAGACACTGGGTGTTGGGAATCAAATGTTGGTCTCCTGGAAGACCGGTCAGCACTTAAACACTGAACCATCTCTCCCGCGCCCCCCCCCCATTTTGTTCAAAAAGGTCAGTTAGTTGCATTGTAATTAAGGGTATGTGTGTTCGGTGGGATCGGACCCAGAGCCTAACGCATGATAGCAAATCTTCGAAGTGACAAGCCTTTCTGCGTTCTAACGCCTGCAGTTGTTAGGGAAGGGCGGAAATGTACGTTTTATGGATTCAGGAAGTGTATCATTTCACGGTCCTTCTCAGGCTTTGTTTTTGATTGGTTGGCCGAGGGGGCGTGACTTAAGCTTTCTAATACAAATGGTCGGCGTGGGTGCCGGCTTGGATGATAGGGCCGTCGGGTGTGGCTGCTTCAGTTCCTTGGTTACAAAGAGGCCGGAAGTGTGACTTTCTTTTACACATCTGCCTAACAGGACCGATCAAGAGACCGAACAGACTTGAGGACGGTGCCGTCATCGTAATGGAGCCGTAGACCATTCCCAGCACACATCTTAGGGTTCTGAGTACAGAGCTGTGTGTTAAGAATCGACCGAGGCCCTGCAATATAGCCTGCCTTAGTTTATCCTGGAAAAGTTCTCCACGTTGTGGACGCCTAGGACTTTCTCCAGGGCCATGGCGGACTCGAAGCTTCTGGCACCAGAGCTAAGCGACGCAGAGTCGATGGGTGATGAGACGGTGCGGTTTCAGGAGCTGCTCCTGCAGGTGCGGGCTGACTGGACTTAAGGGAACCTGAGTGTTTAAGGATTTATACATTGGCGCTCAGGGAAGCGGCTTCAGTTCCCAGAATGCCAGACGGCAGCAAGGAGGCCCATGGGAATTGTAGTTGTTTGGCTCAAAGGTTTCTAGGTTTAAAAGAAGTGGAGTTGGGGTGAATTTGGTCCTCGTAAAAAAGAAAAGGAGGCCTAGATTACATAATATAACAAGTGAGCCGGGTGGTGGTGGTGCATGCCTTTAATCTCTGCACTGGAGATGGACAGGCAAGCAGATCTCAGTGAGTTCAAGGCCAGCCTGCCTGGTCTACAGAGTGAGTTCCAGGACAACCAGGGCTACCGGAAAACAAAAAGCAAACAAACAAACAAACAAAAAATAATATTACATTATTTAAAAAAGCTGATCCTCAGCTGTTACATGAGTTGCCCTGTAAATGTTTGGGAAGCAGGTGATTGGCGGTGACAGGGCAGGATCATCATTAGGCTTGCTTTCCCCCCTCCCCCCACAGGCCTCCAAAGAGCTCCAGCAAGCCCAGACAGAGAGGCCAGAGTCTACACAGATCCAGCCCCAGCCTGGTGAGAAATAGATATAGGTACAAAGGAATGTATATGTATGTGTACATATGTACACACATAATATACATATACATACATACATATATATGTATATTATTCCAGAGAGAGGATGGGAGACCCTGAGAGAGGTCAGTAGAAACTAGGGGATGAAGGAGAGATCACACTGGGTCAGAGGCCTAGAAGTAGTTGTGTGAACGGGCAGGCAAGAAGACCACCTACAAACCCTGAACCACAGACAGTCGAGTGGGAAGTGGTGGGGATTCAAAGTAAGAAAGTGTCAGGGACCTGAGGGAAGCAGAGGGGGACAAGGAGGGAGGCAGGGGCATTATAAGATGGGGAGGAGCTGGGTGCGGTCTGGAGTGCCTTACTCTCAGGCAGGAGCATCCCAAGTCTGGGGCCCGCCTGGGCACAGAGTGAGAGGCCTTGTGTCAGAGCAGAGAGGGGGACGGGGAGGGAGGCTGCCTAGGGACAGATGGGCAAGGTAACCCGCTTGTGCAGGTTTCTGCGTAAAGACCAACTCATCGGAAGGAAAGGTTTTCATCAACATCTGCCACTCTCCCTCCATCCCTCCCCCGGTGGACATGACTGAGGACGAACTACTTCAGATGCTGGAGGAGGACCAAGCTGGCTTCCGAATCCCCATGAGCCTGGGAGAGCCACATGCTGAGCTGGATGCAAGTCAGTGCCCGCAGCCATCTGAGGCTGCTCCCTCAAGACCCTGCTTTCCCCAGGGAGCCAGAGGGGACTGGGTCAGGACAGGAGGGGACACACCTGGGGCACTTCCCAAGGTTAGAGAGGGTTAGGCAAGAGTACTGGTTTGATACAAGGCTTGAGCAGCTAGCCAGGCGGGAGGCAGTTAGCACTCTGGAGGCAGAAGCAGGTGAATCTCCGAGTTCAAGGCTAGCCTGGGGTACAGGGAGTTCCCTGTCTCTAAAAAGATTTTAACAGTCAGCCAACGTCAGAGAAGAGGGTTGCAGTGAGCTGGAATCGGGTGTGTCCTTAGCTTTTAGGGTGCTGTAACCTAGAAGCCAGCTAAGCTCCATAGAAAATTGACCTGTGCCTGGGGGAGACAGTGGCTTGCTTGACTATCAACAGTGAGGAGAGACCGGAAGTGTGGACAGCCGGTGTTCTTTAGACAGGGGGTAGGATAGGGTAAGAGGGTTCTTGTGATCACTGGGGAAGATCAGGGTCTGCCCCTGGAGTTGAGCCTGGAAGCCAAGAAGGACATGGTCTGAGTTGGCTGGCAAGCAGGGCGTGTGCTGCCTCTCACTTCCCATGTCTTGGGTCTCTGGTCCTTGGTTGAGTTTTCCTTAAGTGTGCTGCGTGGAGGGCTGCACAGGTCTCACCTCTTTCCCCACAGAGGGCCAGGGCTGTGCTGCCTATGACGTCGCTGTCAATAGCAACTTGTACCTGAGGATGCAGGTGGGCTGCGTGATGGGCAGGGCCTGGGGAGGGCGCTTCCTCCAGTCACATCCCCTCCACCACACCTTCTCTTCCTCCCACCTTAGAAAAGCGACTTCCTGCGAGAGCTAGTGGTCACCATCGCCAGGGAGGGCCTTGAGGACAAGTATGGTTTACAGCTAAATCCGGGTGAGGGCCAGGAGGGAAATGGGGAAGGCTTGGATGGCACACTTGGGGGAGGTTGAGTCCCGGGTGTCAGGAATTTCCTAGAGCAGCTTTCAGAAGGGGGTGGAGCTTCCTGAGAAGTGAGGGTGTGGCCGAGAAGGGCCGGGCCGGGAGCCTGCTCTGTGTGTGTGTGTGGGGGGGGGGTGTTTGGGTGTAGTGGTGGTTTAAGTGTCTTGATGATTCCCCAGGAAGGGTGGGCTAAGATGGGCAGGGCCTCCTAGAGTCAAAATTGAAATAGAGAGAGGAAGGTGTCTAGGAAGGTGGCCCAACCTCTGGACTGGGAAGCTCCAGCTGACAGAACCCTTCAACCTCTCACTCTGTAACCCCCAGAATGGCGAATGTTGAAGTACCGGCCCTTCCTGGGCTCGATCTCACAGCAGAACATCCGTTCCCAGCAGCGCCCTCGAATCCAGGAGCTGGGGACCGTGCAGGGGTGAGCCTTCTTGTCTATCTGGGCTGATGACTATCCTGGAGCTCTAGGGACTGGATGGAGTTGAAACACAGAGCTGGGTAGAGGAGCAAGGGACAGCAAGACAAGTAGAGGGTACTGGGCCATCAAACCAGGTGGCCACCCTCAGATTGCCCTTGTTCCCATACAGTCCAGAACGGCCTCGCCTGAACCTTTGGTTGGAAGCCCCTGATCTCCTCTTGGCTGAAGTTGACCTCCCCAAGCTGGTGAGTGCAGGCTCTGTAGTCAGGGGAAAGAGCCAGACTCTGGACACCATGGGCCCGAGGCAGGAGGTCCAGACTCTGGACACCGTGGGCCCGAGGCAGGAGGTCCAGACTCTGGACACCGTGGGCCCGAGGCAGGAGGTCCAGACTCTGGACACCGTGGGCCCGAGGCAGGAGGTCCAGCAGCCAAATTCCTGGGTCTGAAGGAGGAGGCTGGGGTCTGGACCCTGGGGACTGGGCCTTATCTCTGGAGGCAGTGATGTGGGCTGTCCCCAGACCTGCATAAGCTGCTTCTCCTGGCCCAGGAAACCAGCAGGTGCAGCCATGCTATCCTGAGTGTGAGACTTGCAGTTACTGCCCTTTGATTGTGTTCACATTGTTTTGGTTCTGAGGATTGACGCCACAACCATGCATGCTCTAACCTTGCGGAAGGCATAGCTTCCCAGTGCTAGGGGATGTGGGCTGACTGTACCTCATCGCCAGGCTGGAGCTCAAGGGCTGACACTGGAGATAGGAGAGAGTCACCTGGTGGTGGGAGGTTCTCAGCGACTGTACCACCTCAGTGTTTCCATTCCCCTGCGGGTCCAGCCTGAGGCGAGCAGGGCTGCTTTCCATCACAGGAGAAAGGTACCGGGAGGGCTTCAGGGGAGGCTGGGACCTGGGGCCTGCAGCCCTGGAGCGGAGGGAGGGAGGAGGCTGGGACCTGGAGCCCAGGGCCTTGAACCCTTACTCTCTTTCCTTTTTCAGCAACTGATGGTGTCCATGCCTCTCCTGCCAGTGTCGTGACCAGGGTCCCCTTCTATTTCCAGATGTGGAGCAGATGTTGGTGTCTTCTCTAAATGTGAAATAAACAGTTTTCCCAGTTCTTTCTAGCTCCGGAAATTGAGACATGGCGGGTGGAAGCGAAGAGGGTTATCAGCTCTGACCCCAGTGTCCCCCAGAAACCTCTGTCCCCTCCCTGGCCTTCTGGACCCCTGTCTTCACGGGTCTCTCCACCTCCCTCTTACCACACTTCTCCATTGTCCCGAGAATCCAGGCATCCAGGCTCAGTTCTGACCCCGGTCTCCAGACATGGCCTTTCTCCGGCCCCCTCAGGACAGGGTCCCACGGGCCACTGCTGCCTGCTTCTAGCTCTTGCGCCCTCTTCGGCTACTAAACGGCCGTCCCTCGTGCAGCAAGCCCAGACCCTGTGAACTGTCTCCGTTCCTGGGGTTCGGCTTCCTGTCACACCACACCCAAGTCTAGGTCCCAAAACCCACAGCTTCACTTCCTCCTGACCCCACATGTGTGGTCCCCTCTTGTGGGACATTCCCACTCTACTCCCAACATCCCCCCCTTCTTTAGTGCTGAGGATGCTCAGGGCCTCTAGTGCCGAGTATGTGCTAGGCAGGCAGCGGTGGTGAGCACCTTTAATCCCAGCACTTGGGAGACAGAGGCCAGCCTGGTCTATACAGCAAGTTCCAGAACAGCCAGGGCGACACAGAAGCCCCGGAAAAACAGACAGTGCCAGGCTTTGTTCTACCATTGATTCACACCTCAGGGAGCCGCCCCTCCCCCTATATTTCCTTTCTTTTTATCTGGGTTTTTTCTTTTTTTTTCCATTAAAAAAAAAAAAAAAGCCTCTTGTAGCCCAGGCTGGTTTGGAACTGGTCTTGAAGCCGAGGATGGGATTTCAGTTTGCAGCACTGCGCTGGTTTCTGTAGCTGGGAACTAAACCCATGCTAGGCAAGCTCTCCTCCACCTGAGGTACTTTCCCAAGCTCCGCCCCGTGCTGTACTATGAATTATATTGGTGAATTATTAGGTGCTGTTTACACTTGTTGAAAGCTGACCTTTTCTTTTTAGACTTATTTATGTTTTGCATCTGTGACTGTTTTGCCTATATATTGTATGTGCACCATTTGTCTGTGACCCCCTGTGGTGGTCAGAAGGCGCTCAGTCCCCTGGACCTGGAGTTACAGGTGCTTGTGAGCCACCTTGTGGGTGCTGGGGACTGAACCTCGTTCCTCTGCAAGAGCCACCCGTGTCCTTAAACACTGAGTCGTCTCTCCACAAGCTGACTCTTGGGAAGGGACAGGCCATGACCTTGTCTCAGACCCAAGCACATTTATTTTGAATGTGCTCTGAGACTCCCTGACCTGGGGCAGGCTGGCTCCCTGGCCCTGCAAAGTAAGAAAGAACACACACAGCTAAAGATATTTAAAACATTACACTTGCGGCCCAGATGATCCGATGGGTGAAGCCACTGGCTTCTGAGCCTGATGACTGGAGATCCATTTCAGGGACCCGCATGGTAGAAAGAACTGATTCCCCAAAGTTGTCCTCTAAGCTCCACAGGCACACTGTGGCATGCCCGCCTGAACACACACACACACACACACACACACACACACACACGCTCGATTTATTTATGTGTATCAGTAGTTTACCTGCATGTACACAGTCTGGTACTTGCTGAATTCAAAAAATGGAACCAGATCCTCTGCTTATGAGCCTTTGTAAGGGTGATGGGAACTGAACCCGGCTCTGTTTCAAAAACACCAAATGATCTTAACTACTACTAAGACATCTCTCCACCCCCAATATATATATATAGTTTTTAGGTTTTGTTTGGTTTTTCTTTTCTTTTTTTCTTTTACTTATTATTTATTTTGAGACATAGAAAAATCCTGTGTCCAAAACAAACAAACAAACAAACAAACAAAAAAACCGCAACAACAAAAAAAACAAAAACCATGAGAGATGGCTCAGTGGTTAAGAGCACTGGCTGCTCTTCTAGAGGACCTGGGTTCCATTCCCAGAACCCACATGGCAGCTCACAACTATAACTCAGTTCCAGGGGATCTGACACCCTCACACAGACAGATGTGCATATAAAAATAAAAAATATGGCCATATGGCCAGGCTTGGTGGTGCAGGCCTTTAATCCCAGCACTCACGAGGCTGGCAGGTCTCTGCAAGTTCGAGGCCACCCTTGTCTACGAAGCCAGTTCCAGGACAGCCAGAACTGTTACACAGAGAAACCCTGTCTGGGGAGGGCATACAACTTCTGAGAAAAGTTGATAAAGTTAGAAGTGGGTGTCTTGGTGGGTATGCCTGCAGTTACACTCTTGAGAGGGTGTAGCAGGATGACAGATTCCACGTTAGTCTGTAGAACAGGAGATCGATCCATCCTGCCCTAGAATGCCGGCAAGCAGACTAGAAAGCCTTGCCCACAAGAGGGCGCAAGGAAGCCTTAGACGTAAGGGCTTCTTAGCTAGGACAACCACCCCGAGAAGCCACAGGAAAATAGAAACGAGGGTGATGGGGGAGCGCGGGACTGACTCCCAAGTGCAAAGGTCACTGGGGCGTGTAGTCCAGACTGAGGTCCTCCCTGGGCAACCGAGGACTAGCTTCCAGGTCCTGAAAAAGCTTGAGGCTGGTGCGTTCCTCCTCCCTCCGTTGCCATGGTGATGGTGCGGGCGACGGCCCGGGGAATTGGCAGCGGCGGGGCCCCCTTCCCACACCCTCCTCCTCACCATCTGCTCCTCCCTCACACCTGGCCGGGAGCCGCGGACGCCTCCTCCGCTCGCAGCCGGTGACTCTGCAGCCACCAGGTGGCGCGTGTGCGCGGTCCGCCCGCCCCCCTCCTCCCCCGGGACTTGTCAGAGACACGAGATCTTCCGCGCCCGCCAGCCGCTCGATCGGCTTCTCTCGTCCCCTCCTGGGCCGCATCATGAAAATTTAATCCCAAATGCATTTGTGGCCCGACACGCGGGGGAGAAAGACGGCGGGGAGACCTGCACCCTGCTGAAGCCTGGAGCTGGTGCTCGGGGAAAGTGTGGGCCTGGCGGGCTGCAGGGTTCCAGGGTCCCCACAAAGTGTGGGACTGGAATCTACTGGGGGAGGACTGGGACAGACTTGGGGAGGAGCCAGGCCCCACAGAGCACACACCCTACGTAGCGTGTCCGCAGGAGCAGAGGACGCATCAGGGGAGCGGGTGAACTCAGAGGAGGGGATAGGACGAGGGGGTATTCTAGGGCACCAGAATTCAAAGGGGAGGAGCTGAAACTCAGGAAGAGAAGGATGGGGTGTGAGCGGATACCCCCCCTCCAGGAAAAGCAGAACTCAAGGGGAATAGTGGAATCTGAAGCGTACAGGGAAAGCCAGTACAGTCCAGCTACCTGAGTAGGATCATAAGTTCAAGGCCAGCCTGAGCTACAGAGTGAGGGCCGGAGGCTTGCCTAGCGTGTGCATGTGCAGGGTGGTGGTGGTGGTGGTGATGGTGGTATCTGGATCCAATCTCCAGTATGGTAATCCCAGAGGGCCTGGGTTCCGTTCCCGGCACCCATGTGGCAGCTCACAACTCCAGTTCCAGGGGATCCAATGCTATTTTTAAGTGTGCGCGACCACTAGGCATACAAGTAGTGCACAGATAGACATGCTGACAAAACAGTCATACATAGAATTCTTATTTGTTTGTTTTTCAAGACAGGGTTTGTCTGTGTAGCCCTGGCTGTCCTGGAACTCAATTGTAGACCAGGCTGGTCTTGAACTCAGAGGTTCACCTACTTCTGCGTACCAATTGCTAGGGTGAACAGCGTGAGCCACAACGCCCACTTCTAAGCAAAACAAAACAAAACAAAACAACAACAAAAAAACCCCAAACCCAACGGTTTTTATTTTGGTTTGTCTGTGAAACCCTGCCTGTCCTTGAACTCCTTCTATAGACAGGCTGGACTCCTGCTCAGAGAGATTTGCCTGCCTCCATCTCCTGAGTGCGGGGGGGGGGGGAAGGGGGGGTTAAAGGTGTGTGCCACCATCGCTCAGGTGTTTGTTGTTTTTTTGTTTTTTGTTTTTTTTATTGGAGACAGGATTTCTGCCTCCCCAAATCCCGGGATTTAATTTAAGGTTTGCATCACCACCTCCCGGCTCAAAAATATTTTTTTAAGTAAAGAAAACGAGAAAGCCAAAGCTTGGATGGGGAAGCGAGTTCAGGAGCGCAGAGGGACCCAGTGAGCATGGACCGCGCAGCGTGATTTGGGAACTGGATCGTGAGGGGTCACAGAGTTCGGTCCTAAGGGCGTGGCCTTGAGCTGGCCAGGTAGAAGGAGAGAGAGGGTCTAGCCTGTGAGGGACTGGCCTACAGCCCCCAGGTAGGTGGGCGGCAGGAGAGGGCGGGTCTTGTTTGCAAGGGGTGGGGCCTCGTTGGGTGGGCGTGAACCCCGCCCCGCCCCGCCCCGCCCCCCGACGTTGAGTCCCGCTTCAGCCCCGGGCAGCTGGCACTCTCTGCTTGCTTCCCCCCGAGCGGAGCTGCGGGGCCGGGCCGGGCCGGGGCGGACCCCGGGATCCCGGACGCGGCCGCCCGGGCCCGCGGGCGGGGGGGTTGGCAGGGGACCCGCGTGGGCACCGCCGCCATGGAGTTCAGGCAGGAGGAGTTTCGGAAGCTGGCGGGGCGCGCCCTGGGGAGGCTGCACCGGTGAGCCTGGTGGGGTCCCTGGGAGGGGAAGGGTGAGGACGCCCCCTCTGCACCCGGGCCGAGGGAGATGGCACCCTGGCATGGGAGGCCCACCCATCTGCTCAGGGATCCGCCTGTGGGTGCTGCTCTCCCATCCTGCCCGGCCCCGCATCTTTCCCCCACCTAGGGCTTGGCTTTTTCTTTGAGGTTGTGCATCCCTCTGGGTTTCTGTCCACCTGTCTTCTGTCTTTTTACTTTAGATGTGTCTCCTCTCTCTGGATGCCCCCTCCCTCATCTCTGGGGCTCTGTCCCTCCCTCTGATTAGGAGCCATTGCGCTCTCGGGAGTCCATCAGCCCTGATTCTGAGTGCCTTGTGCTCCCCAACCCGCTTTCTCCGGACCTGGGGTCTCCACTTTGAGCTGTGTGTCTCTCTTGGAATCTCTGACTGTCTCTCTGCATTGCTGTCTTCCCATGGCTCTCCATCCCCTCTCTCTCTCAGGTTCTGTCCCTAGAGGCATTTAATCTGGAGCTAAAGCGGATTGGGGCTGTTGGTTCTTGTCCTTGAGGGGGGTTAAGCTGAGAGGGAAAAGCTGGGTATCCCAGGTCCCAGGGCGGCGAGGGAGTTTCAGGCCACAAAAGCAAGTTAATCTTGGGGTGTAGTATGGGCTTCCCAAGGGATATAGGTCAGAACTGGGCGACATTTGCTCCCACCCAGAGCCATGATTCCAGTGACCTCAGTGTCCCCGAGGTAGCCTGGACGCCTCCCAGCCTCTCACCCCCAACCCCAGCTCTGGCTCTAAGTCAGGGAAATTACTCAGCTCTTGAGAAGCCTAAAAATATCCTTCCACAGTGCGGGAGGAGATGGCCTCGTGGGCATGGCGCCCTTAGACCCCGCTGGCTTCAGTGTCCTGGCCCATCTTTTCGTGGTCCTGGTCCTTCTCACTGGGCCACCTGAGTCTAGTGTTAGTCTGGCAGCCCAGCTCTCCAAGCACCCAAAGTTAACCCCACCTCTGGTACCATGAGAGGGATAAGGTGGACTGAGGGAGGCAGGAAGGTGGGGGGGGCCGGGGGGGGGCTTGGAGGAGGGGAGCTGAGACAGCTTCACCTCTGTTTTCCAATTCCCGTCCTTCCCCGCCCTTTTTTCTCGCCTCCTTTCACGAGTTTCTGAAAATACACCAGTGTGAAGTCAGGGGAGTGAGAGAGAAAGACACAGCGCAGGCAGCGGCAGCGGTGGAGGGGGCTGAAGGGGGCGGTCCTCAGGCCTCCCTCCTGGATCCCCAGCCTCGCCTCTCCAAACCACAGACCCCAGGAGGAGCGGCAGGAAGCTGGGGAGGGGGCAAGCATCTATTTGCTTACAAAACTCACAATTCACTTCGACAGTGAGGGGCATCAACGGCTGAGGGCCAACAACATTTGAACCCAGGTTATTCTTCCCAAGCCTGGGATGAGAGCTAAGAGCCACAGATGTCCCTGAAGGTGGACATGAGTGATGGCAGCTGGGGGCTGGGGTGTCTCTTGGATGAGGCACCCCAGGGTGACTTAGAACAAAGAAGAGCCAGGAGACGGGGGTCCTTTGCTTCTGGCAGCCAGGTTCTGGGCAGGGCAATGCTGGGGGTCAGGGATGGATCAGGCCCAAGTTGCTTTCCTTTGGTGTGACCTTGGACCTGTGACATCTGTTTTTGGAGTCTCAATTTCCTAATTCTATAATAAGAAGGAACCAGACAGCGACCAAGGCACAGGAGAGAGACTCAGGGAGTGGACGGGTATCTTGAGAGAGCAGTTGAGACAGGAAACTCCGGCCTGAGGGACACATTCCCTCACCAAGTCCTTGGCCTAGCTGGGGCCATTCGGAGAGGAGATGGGGCTTCTCTGTGACTCTTGTTATTTTGAGACAAGGTCTCCAGTAGCCCAGGCTGGCCCTCGGGCTCCCGACCACCTTGCCTCCATCTTCCAGTGCTGGGGACACGTGCACACCCCACCCCACCTGGCTACACCTGCCCCCGCAGTGATAGCCGTGTTCCGTTCTTGTTGATACTCAGAGTCCCTGCTTGAAAAGCCTGTCTTAGAGAGATCTGCCATCTAATATAAACAACAAGTATCAGAATTCTAGGGCTAGACCCAGACCTGCAGTTTCCGAGTTGATCAGGAATCAGAAGTCAGCCTAGGGCCCACACAACCTCACAGGTGATGTCCTGTGGAGGGGAGCATGCAGGACCCTTCGGTCCTATTTGCTCGTTCTGGAGGCGTTGATTCCCTCTTTCTACCTTCCTTCCCTTGGGTCCTCTCTACACCATCTCTCTTTCTTTCCCTAGGGACCCCCCTTTTTTTTTTGTTTTGTTTTGTTTTTTGACAGGCTCTCGTTCATCACCAGCTATGTAGACTAGGCTCGCCTGGAACTCAGAGCTCCTACCTCTGCCTTAAAGTACTGTGATCAAAGGTGAGCGCCACCATATGGCTTGTTTTGTTGAGACAAAGTCTGGTGTAACCTAGGCTGGCTTCTGCTAGACGGGCAAGGCTGACCTTGAACTTCTGATCCTCCTGCCTCTGCCTCTAAGTGTTGTGATTACAGATATGTGCCAATATACCTGGCTTTTGCAGTGCCGGGGTGGAACGCAGACCTTCCTACGTGCTAGGCAAACACCTGCCAACTGAGCCACAGCCTGCTCTCCTTGTCTGACTCTGTAGCCCGGGGTGGTATTGAAATTGCAGCAATCCTCCTGCCTCAGCCTTAAGAGTGCTGGGGTTACAGGCGTGACCTTCCACCACCCCTTCCTTGCCCACCCCTCCCCACCTCCTTAATTCTCGAGATGGGGCTGTGGCCGTGTTCATTGTCCCCGCCCCCCCCCGCAGTCTGGCTGTTCTTTCCTCCCCCGTCCCAGCCCTCCCCGCTCCCATCTGTTCTTACCCCTTCCTGGGATCCAGCCTGGTTGCTTTCCTGCCTCGCGGGGCCACGGTGAACCCTCACTGTCCCCATGCTCGGGGCCTGTCACTGCCTCAGACCGTTCGCCCTCCACGCCTCCCCATCTCTCTGTTTTCTAGTATCAGGCTCTCTGCCCTCCTCACCCCACATCCGCGTCTCTAACGTGAGAGTGAATCCCTGCTCTCTCCCGGAGCCTGCCTGCTTCTCTCTAATTCTCTGACCCTCTCTCTTCCTTTCTCTAGGTCTCTGTCACCTTCCCGCTCTTACTCTCCTCCACCCCCCCCCCGTCCCCCAAGTCTTAGGCTACTTCCCCGTCTACTCCCCAAGCTTCTGACTCGCTCTTCTCTTCGTTGCTCTTTGTCTCTCCCCCAGCCATCTCCCACCTCCCTGGTCTCTCCCCGCCTGCCTCCAGCAGCCTCCCTCTGGCTGGGAGACAGCCCCTGCATGAGCCCTCTCTATCTATCATCAGACTCAATCCTGGATGCAGATGGGGCGGAGGCGAGAGTCAGGCTGGGGAAGGAGCGCCAATCCTCCCTACCAGGGCCATCTGTCCCTTGCCAGGACACCAGCCATCACTCCCCCTCCCTTTCCCCAGGCTGACAGTCTGAACCTCAGATTCCCCAGGGGGAGCCCGAGCTGGACTGCCGGCCTGCAGCCCTGAGGAACTCCCCAAACCCACACGCGTGGGAACGGGCTTCAGCCCAGGGCAGGGCAACCCGGGGGTCGGAATAGACAGCCGAGGCGGCTTGGAAGCTCCTGCTCTGTTGACACACCTCTGCGCAGTCGTCTCCTCTACCTTTGCTGACTCTAACAGACTCAGACCTGCATCTGGCGGAGGGGGCGGGGGAGCGTCTTGGAGCTTGTGGCGGGGACTTGACTCCAGAGGGTAGTTAGTGTAGTCTGTAACTCCCTAGCCGAGGGAGGGGGAGGGCTGCGGAGGCGACTGAAGGTCTTGACCCACAAGTGAATCCAGGCAGGAGGCAGCTGCTAGAGACCTGGGCTCTGGGACTCTGAATTCTGGGTCTGACGAGGAATGTGGGCTTTGCCATTCACTACTGTGTCGCAGGGAGGAGACACCTGAGTTCTTGGATGGAGGGCGGGAAAGACAGGTCCAGAGATGCCTGCACGCCAGTGAGGGCAGCAAAGCAAGGTTAAGCCTGGAACCCCGGTGTCGCCGGGAGGAGGGGCCTGGCCTGCTGAGTCTTTGCTTCTCGCTGCCCTGCAGGCTGCTGGAGAAGCGTCAGGAAGGCGCCGAGACTCTGGAGCTGAGCGCCGACGGGCGCCCGGTGACCACGCACGCGCGGGACCCGCCTGTGGTGGACTGCACCTGCTTTGGCCTCCCTCGGCGCTATATCATTGCCATCATGAGTGGTCTGGGTTTCTGCATCAGCTTCGGCATCCGCTGCAACCTGGGCGTGGCCATCGTGTCCATGGTCAACAACAGCACGACCCACCGTGGGGGCCACGTGGTGGTGCAGGTAGCTGCTCTGGCGAGCCCTGCTTACGGCCCACGATGTCATGCGCGGCCAGTTTACACGCCTTCCCACCTACAATCCTGTGGCCAGCCCATCAGTGACTCCCTGCAGATCTGACCTGTCCCCGCCTTCCTAAATCCTGCCCTGATAGAAAGCTCCACCCCATTTCCATCCCAGATTAAATGTCACACCAGGATTGGGTTTGATACTCATTACCTCGGTTCATTTTGGACCTTCTAGCCAGTTCTCTTACAGCTGTGTCTCACGTTTGTGTTCCTGGGTGACATTTATACAATTTAACTCCCATCTCAAGCTCCTTTCCAAATTTACCTCTGCCTTTGCCCACCTGATTAGTTCTGATCCTAAAGCTCCCTCCAAGTGCAGATTTACACTGTTTTAACTTGGCTATTATAGAAGCCATGTCCATGCTTGGGAAAAGAAAAAAAAAATCTTAGTTTGGTCTGTAGCTTACCTGAAGCCCCATCCTTTGCTCCAATGTAATTCTGATAAGGAATAACCCTAATTTAGCTGCTTCTTGGCCCTGCCTAGACCCCATACAGGTCTGTCCACAAACAGGAGGCAGTCATCCCCACACATGGGGATATTCAGGGAGGGGATACTGAGGTAAGCAAGCAAGTAGAACTAGGCTTCTGGGCAGCAGCTTGTAGCTAAAGTGGTAGGGAAAGCCTTAGCAACATAGAAGGGCGGAGCTCCAGCGAGCTCTGATGGGCAGGTGTGGGCACGGAGACTCTGGGTGCTGATTGGTGGAGGGTGGGGTCTGGAGGGCGGCCAGGGTGATGTGTATTTCGACCCACAGGAAGCCCAGTTCAACTGGGACCCGGAGACTGTCGGCCTCATACATGGCTCCTTTTTCTGGGGCTACATTGTCACTCAGATTCCTGGAGGATTTATCTGCCAGAAATTCGCAGCCAACAGGTACAGTGCTGCGGTCTCAGGGCGTCAGACATTCAGCTGGGCACGGTAGAGCTACACGGTGTGGTCTCGGGTTTGGCTCCGGGGGAACTGGGAGGGCATCTCTTAGAGGTGGCCTTGAGTTCTGTGGGCGGGCAGGGCGGGAAGGCGGGACCACATGAACTCCGCACTACATCTGCCTCGGCTTCTCCACCTTTCTCAACAGGGTCTTTGGCTTCGCCATTGTGGCCACCTCCACCCTAAACATGTTGATCCCCTCAGCAGCCCGTGTCCACTACGGCTGTGTCATTTTCGTGAGGATCCTGCAGGGACTGGTGGAGGTAAGCCCTGCCCCATTACATTAGCCCTGCTGCCCTGTCTGACCCACCTCTGACCTCCGCGCTCCCTCCCCAGGGGGTCACATACCCTGCGTGCCACGGCATCTGGAGCAAATGGGCCCCTCCCTTAGAACGGAGCCGGCTGGCGACCACAGCCTTTTGCGGTGAGGTGAAGGGCTGGGGGCTGGCTCCTGTGTGAGGGGCTGAGCCGTGAGCTCAGCTTCGCAGGGGCAGATCCCAGGGCTGAGGGTCTGTTCCCCTGGGGAAGACAGGCCTGTTCTCCGCTCTCGCGGTCCCGCAGGTTCCTATGCTGGGGCAGTGGTCGCCATGCCCCTGGCTGGAGTCCTGGTGCAGTACTCAGGATGGAGCTCTGTCTTCTATGTCTATGGTGAGGGACTTGGATGCACGGGTCCGGGGGGGGCACTGGGGCTGAGCGAGGCTGGGGTCACCCTCCTCCCATCCCTTCCTCCCAACCCTCCCAGGCAGCTTTGGGATCTTTTGGTACCTGTTCTGGTTGCTCGTCTCCTACGAGTCACCTGCACTGCACCCTAGCATCTCAGAAGAGGAGCGCAAATACATCGAGGATGCCATCGGAGAGAGCGCCAAGCTCATGAACCCTGTTACGGTTGGTTGGTTGGCCATGCAGCTGCGGGACTGGGCAGGGCGGGCAGGGGCAGGGGTGTGCTGGTTCGAAGCTGTGCAGAGAAGGTAGGACTGCCCAGTAAAAGGCTGGGGCTGAAAGGGGCGTGGTGATGCCGGCCTGTCATCCCAGTACTTGAGGGCCTGAGGCAGGAGGACTGCAAGTTCAAGGCCAGGTCAGGGAATATAGTGAAACTGTGTTTCAAAAGTGAAAAGTGGGTTAGAGGTATAGCTCAATGGTGGATCATTAGCCTAGAACCCCCCCCCCCAGTGAGGGGTTGGAGTGTGGCTCAACGATAGAGTGCTTGCCTAGCATGCTTGAGGTCATTCATAGGTTCTATTCCCACTACTGAAAATAAATAAATAAATAAATAAATAAATAAATAACCACCCTCTGGAGTCAGGACCCATCCTGCATCCTTGCAATGCAACCTTAAGGCTGGGTTTTTAGAATCCCTCAGGCCCCAGGAGTAAAGACATGCCCATGCTATGGTGGGGTCCCCGAAGGGACCTGAAGTTCCAAGCCCTGGTATGTGTCTTAGCACGGTCTGCCCTCCCCCCTCCCCTCCCCCTCCTCTCCTCTCCCCTTCTCCCCCTCCCCCTCCCCCCCACAGAAGTTTAACACACCCTGGAGACGCTTCTTCACATCCATGCCAGTCTATGCCATCATTGTGGCCAACTTTTGCCGAAGCTGGACCTTCTACCTGCTCCTCATTTCCCAGCCTGCCTACTTTGAAGAAGTGTTCGGTTTTGAGATCAGCAAGGTTGGAGTGCAGGGGGGGAGGGGGGAGGGGAGGGTGCCTGCATCCCTAGGCGGGGAGGGAGGAGGGGGTTGGGGCACCCAAAGGGAGGGGCTGCCCACTCCCTTGCTCTCACAGGTGGGCCTGGTATCAGCACTGCCTCACCTGGTCATGACCATCATCGTGCCCATCGGAGGCCAGATCGCCGACTTTCTGCGCAGTCGCCGCATAATGTCCACCACCAATGTGCGAAAGTTGATGAACTGTGGAGGTGAGTGGGTGGGCCCAGGTGGAGCGGAGTACACAGGGGAAGGTGTGATGGGCAGGGTAGAGGAGGGGCTAAAGGGCGTGGCTGCCCTGACCCCACCTGAGTGAGTGAGGGCAGCGTGCCGCATTTTGACGAAGTTAGGTTGGAGACCGCCACGTGCCAAGGGTAGGCAGATGAGTACAGGTCCAGGTGGTGTGGAAGGGAGGGGCCCCTCATGAGGCTGGGTAGAACCAGACTGAAACTAATCTTGCCAGGTGGTAGTGTACTAATCCCAGCACTCGGGACGCAGAGGCAGGCGGATCTCTGCGAGTTCGAGGCCAGCCTGGTCTACAGAGCGAGTTCCAGGACAGGCTCCAAAGCCACAGAGAAACCCTGTCTCAAAAAACAAACAAAAAACCCCCAAAACAACAATAAAAAACCTAGTCCGGGAGCTGGGGTGGAGGAGGGGCAGGAGCAGCTGTGGATGGGGACCTGAACCCTATATAACCCTAAAACCCTAGATGATCATACCTGGGGTTTTAGGGAGACAGGTCATGGGCGGGGACCTAGCAAGATGGTGGACAGCAGGGTTGGGGGGTGTGAGTGGGGTCCCCGGCTTCCCTATGTGATAGGGACTGGGTGTTGGGCCTAGTCAGAAGATGGGACCACGGTGGCCCTTTTTAAGGCCAAGGTGCTGAAAGACACAGATTGGGTTGGGTCTTGTGGGAGCAGGGTCTGCTCTGGCTCTGGCTCGGTGGAACTGGAGTCAGGTCTTCTGCAGGTCAGATGGGGTCAATCAAGGCTGGGAATGTGTCAGGTGGCCAGTGGGCTCACAATGGGCACTTGGTAGACATGGCCCTTTGCAGGATTCGGGATGGAAGCCACGCTGCTGTTGGTGGTAGGATACTCACACTCCAAAGGTGTGGCCATCTCCTTCCTCGTCCTGGCTGTGGGCTTCAGCGGCTTTGCCATCTCTGGTGAGAACCCCAGATGGGTAGCTGGGGTTACTGGGGTCAGCTCAGGCCTGAAATGGGCTTCTCAGGAGCTAGAGAGGTCGGTGTCGGTCGGTGTCTTAGCAGTTAAGAGTTGCGACTCTTTCAGAGGACCTGAATTTGGTTCCCAGACCACCCAACTGCTAGAAGTGGACCATGCGCCCCCTCTGGCCTCTACGGGTACTGCACACATGCATACCCTCACACAAACACAACCATAAATACAAATCTCTAAGATGAGTGCCTCAGAAGAGAGGATGGGTGGCTGTGACCCTGCATGGGGATTTGGTGTGACAGCTGCTGACTTGATGCCCCACCAGGGTTCAACGTGAACCACTTGGACATCGCCCCGCGATATGCCAGCATCTTGATGGGCATCTCCAATGGCGTGGGCACACTGTCTGGGATGGTGTGTCCAATCATCGTGGGTGCAATGACCAAGCACAAGGTTAGCACAGCCCTCCCAAAGAATGCCTGGAACCTTCTGGTACCCATCCTTCCTCCTCTTTCTTTTATCTACCTCCTTCCTTTCTTTTCTGCCGGCCTTTCTTTAAGAAATGATTTTTTTAAGTTCTATTTATTAATTATTTATAGTGTTCTCCCTGCATGTATTCCTACAGGCCAGAAGAGGGCGCTAGATCTCATTACAGATGGTTGTGAGCCACCATGTGGGTGCTGAGAATTGAACTCAGGACCTTAGGAAGAGCAGTCAGTGCTCTTAACCCCTGAGCTGTATCTGCAGCCTCTTTCTTTTCTTTTCTTTTCTTTTTTTTAAGACAGGATATTTCTGTGTATCCCTGGATGTCCTGGAACTCAATATGTAGACCAGCTGGTCTCAGAGATTTTCTTTTATCTCTTAAAAAATCCATTTGTATTGGTTTCCTTGTAGCGTAGTGTGTGAGCTATGGTGCTGTGGGATATGTATTGGTCTCTCTCCACCATGTGGGTCCCAGGGCTGGAATTCAGGTCATCAGGGTTGGCACACCCTCTTCTGGCTGAGCCATCTCACCATGAACCATATTTTTTAGTCAGAGTCTCATTATGTTGCCCTGGCTGGTCTGGATCTCTATGTAGGCCAGGCTGGCCTCGAACTCACAGAGATGTACCTGCCTCTGCCTCCCGAATGCTGGGATGAAAGGCGTGCACCACCACACCTGGCCTCCTTCTATTTTTAATTGTGTGTTCCTGCATGTACATGCTGTGTCCACAGAGGTCCGAGGGCATCCAACTCCGTGCAATTAGAGGCCATTGTGAGCTGCCTAATGTGGGCACTGGGACCTGAACTTGGGCCCGGTGTCAGCCTGCAGAGTTGCTGAGGTGACACGTGCGCACGTCTCTGTGTTTTGACCTTGTGCTGTGTTGTGTGACCCCAGACTCGGGAGGAGTGGCAGTACGTGTTCCTCATCGCCTCCCTGGTGCACTACGGGGGTGTCATCTTCTACGGGGTGTTTGCCTCGGGAGAGAAGCAGCCGTGGGCGGAGCCGGAGGAGACGAGCGAGGAGAAGTGTGGTTTCGTAGGCCATGACCAGCTGGCTGGGAGTGACGAAAGTGACACAGAAGACGAGGCTGAGCCCCCGGGGGCCCCCCCTGCCCCTGCCTCCTACGGGGCCACACTCAGCACAGCTCAGCCTCCCAGGCCCCCGCCCCCCGTCCGGGACTACTGACCGCGTGCCTCCCTCTGACTGGCAGTTCCCAGGCCTCCACTCAGGACACCTCTGCCTGAGCAGCAGCCTGAGGGACCCGGCTCGCTCTGTCCTGCCCCGGGCCTAAGATGCCTAAGATGCGAGTCTTCCCCTGTCCCCAGTCAACCAACCTTCCCTTCTCAACGGCCTCAAAGCGGCGAAGCCGCGCACTAGCCGCTTCAAGGATACCCAGACATCCCTGAAAGTTGTTCTCCTTTCGGGGCTTTATTTGGATGGACCGCTCAACCCCGTTCTCTCTTGTGGTTTTGAGGCTCCGCTCCTTGTCGTGGGACCCCAGGGATTCTCAGGGCACCCCAAGATTATTCAGCTGGTCCCCAGCTCAGAGAAATCCATGGTTGTCATCCATTCGTCCCAAGGCCCTCCTAACCATTCTGCATTTCCCGAGTTGGTTTAAGCAAACACCAAGCCTGCCCGCCATGCCAAGGACTGATTCTCACCAGCGTTCCTGAGAGGAAATGGCGGTTTCAAGTCTCCCGACTCCTGACCTTGCCCCCCCCCCCAGCACACTTGGCCAGGCCTGGCCATTGTCTGTAGGTAGCGCCATGGGCAGGGAAACGGCCCAAGTGGCTCTGCTCACCCCATGCTTTTCCTGACTTAGTTTTCAGGTCTCAGTAGTGGCTGCTCAAGTCCCCTGACTGGGTGGCCGGAAGCTGTCACCTCTCCTGTGGTTTCAGGGCCTCCCTCCCCCCCCCCCCCAGATCCTTGCACTTTATTCTCCTGGGCAGTTCAGACTGCCCTTAGTTTCTCAGTGGTCATTGTTGTGTCCCTCAGGGGCTAAATTACTCCACATCTGGGGTGCTTCCCTCTTAGACGCCCTCTTTCTTAGAAATCCGGGGGGGCTGTAGAAGTGAGGGGACCCCACGAGAGAGCGGGCTTGGGGAAGAGGGCTGTTCCTGGGGCAGGCTCGTGTCTGTGTGTCTGTCTGTGACAGTAAATCCTGCTCTGCCCGTCCCCTGCCCAATAAACGCTCTGGTGTGCAGATGAGGCTGTCAGCCCGGCCTCCTCCCTCGCTCCTCTGCCGCTGTCTGCACTGGGGTTCCCGCTCCCCTTGCTCTAGGCTGGACCCCAGGCCCCAGTCTAGGCCTGCTTCTCCACCGGTCTGGCGTGGGTCCCACCGCCCCGTGCCAAGCACTCAGGTGCACACTCCAGTGGGTGAGGTGGTTTATTGGGAAGCTCTGCTTGGCTCTGGGTTCTTCTAGGCCTGGAAGCTGGATTAGGTCTGCAGTGCTGCGGGAATCAGACGAAGTTGGGGGACAGCGCGGCGGGCGACAGGGCCTCCAGGCGCTGTGGCCCGCGGGGTGGAGGGGGCAGCTTGGGCGGCAGTGGAGGCGTGGGAGGTGGCTGCCGCGTGGCGATGTGCGAGGGCACCCACGCATCGGGGGCATAGAAGTAGAGGTCCAAGGGGTCCTTCGGGGTGTCCAGATGCAGTACTGCAGGGCAAGGGAGGGGTCAGGCGTGTGTGGGAGCTGAGGGTACCCTGGAGGGCTCTGAGTGTGTGTGAGTGTGAGTGTGTGTGTGTGAGTGTGTGGGGTGGAATCTGGGGGTGAGAACCCATCTCAGAAGAGGAGGGAGGAGGCCAGGAAGGAGGAAGACCGTGGTCGCCTGTGGCAGGAGCCTGTGTTCTTCAAGGATACGCTAAGTCCCTTGCAAGGCCTGGAAAAGGAAGCTGGCCGGCACTCACCTGGCTCATCTCCGCTGTCCTGGAGCCTGTGGTGTGCAAAGGACCTGTGTCTGGAGGCTCGGCGGTACAGACACCACAGCAGGAGGAAGACACCAATCAGCATCCCTGTCCCCGCCAAGAACAGGCACAGGGCTCCGCTGATGGAGCCTCGCGGGCGGCTGACCAGAGTCACCCCTGAGAAATGACAGCTATTTAAACTGAGGGCGTCCTCCCTCAGCCCCGGCCCTCCTCCCCCTCCTCCCTCAGCCCCAGCCCTCCTCCCTCAGCCCCGGCCCTCCTCCCTCAGCCCGGCCCTCCTCCCTCAGCCCGGCCCTCCTCCCTCAGCCCGGGCCTCCTCCCTCAGCCCGGCCCTCCTCCCCCTCCTCCCTCAGCCCGGCCCTCCTCCCCCTCCTCCCTCAGCCCGGCCCTCCTCCCTCAGCCCGGGCCTCCTCCCTCAGCCCGGCCCTCCTCCCCCTCCTCCCTCAGCCCCGGCCCTCAGCCCCGGCCCTCCTCCCTCAGCCCGGCCCTCCTCCCTCAGCCCGGCCCTCCTCCCTCAGCCCGGCCCTCCTCCCTCAGCCCGGCCCTCCTCCCTCAGCCCGGCCCTCCTCCCTCAGCCCCGGGCCTCCTCCCTCAGCCCCGGCCCTCAGCCCCGGCCCTCCTCCCTCAGCCCCGGCCCTCCTCCCTCAGCCCGGCCCTCCTCCCTCAGCCCCGGCCCTCCTCCCCCTCCTCCCTCAGCCCCCGGCCCTCCTCCCTCAGCCCCGGCCCTCCTCCCTCAGCCCCGGCCCTCCTCCCCCTCCTCCCTCAGCCCCGGCCCTCCTCCCTCAGCCCCGCCCTCCTCCCTCAGCCCCGGCCTCCTCCCTCAGCCCCAGCCTCCTCCCTCAGCCCCAGAGCCCAGCCCCAGCCCTCTGCTGTGACATCTATGGCCAGGCCCCTCACCAGTGTCCTTTATTCGTTCCACCAGGATGATAGTATTGACTGTCTCTCCTCGGCTGTGTCTCTGAGGGGCCTGGGGCTCCCCAGGAGCTACCTGGTTGGGGTGTTGTGGAGGAGCAGGACGGCCTGCAATCCGTGCAGAGGGAGGAGGGTTGTTTGGTCCTTTAGGGCCTGAGTTCTGGGGTGCGTTCAGCTCTTTGGTCCCTAGGGGATCTGAGGTGGACAGGCCAGGGATGCCAGCTTGGGTGGCTGCAGGGGCTCCCGGGCTGGGACTCAAGCCTGGCTCACCAGGCACGGTGGCTTCCTCCCTGAAGGGTGTCGTTGGCTGAGTGGGGAGACTAGTGGTGACCTCCAGGTCAGAGGTCACGGCTATCTCTGTTGCATTTTGTTTGAGGGTTGTGGGGAACTCTGTTTGGGGGCTATCAGTGGCGTTGGAATTCTGGGTGATGAGAAAGGGTGACTGTGGTGTTTCTGTGGGGCCAGGGTTGGTGGTTGGTGGTGAGGCAGAGTTTAAGGTTCTGGAGGTACTAAGGTCATTGGTCTCTAGGGACCTGAGGCTGAGGGGTTGGGTGGGGCCAGGACTTGGTACTTTAGGCCCTTCGCCTGGAAAGATTTGGGGAGTACCTTTGGGGATCTCAGGGAGGTCTTGGTGTATAGTAGGCACAGGATCAGTGTGTTTAGCTGCAGGAGGTTCTGGGGGCGGAGCTTTGAAGGGGTCAGGAGATCCAGACTGGGAAGTTGTAGTCAGGTCAGGTTTGGGGGTCTCAGGAGATTCTGGCAGTGCTGCATGTGAAGCCTCCTGGGGTTCTGTGACTGAGGTCATGAGCTGGGCAGGCATTGGGGTCTCTGGAGCATCTGAGAGGCTGGGGCTGGGGGTCTCACTTGGGTTTCCCCTGGAGATGTGATGGAGAGCTGAGGGCAGTGTCTTGGAGGGCTCAGGCAGAACCGTTGCAGGGTACCCTGGGGTAGGCCCATCTCTAGTAGAATTTTCTAGGGCACCAATGGGCATCCTAGAGGGCTGGATCATCCCCTGGGGGTGGGAGTCCACAGGCAGAGAGGCTGAGGGAGCTGCCTTGGAACCCAGACCATTGAGGAGGAAGAGGAGGAGGAAGATGGGACTGAAGGGCTGCATGGCTCAGCGATGCCTTAGCTGTGGAAGGAGGAGGTAGGAAAAGGTTAACCAAAGCATCCCGGAGCCATGTACACTCCCACAGGCCACACCCACTGGCTTCCAGAAGGAACAGGTCTGTCCAGGGACTCTGGCAAAACCCAACTGCAAGTCCCTGGTGGCTGTGGGGTGGTAACCATGGTCACCAAGGTTACGAGAGTTCAGGGATTCTTAGGAGTGGTAGTGCATTCCCAGTAGCTGAAAAATTGGGACATAATGACACCTTTTCAAGCTCCCGGAAATGTTAGATTCTACCTTCAAAGGGCATCAGATGGCTAAGGTCCGGGACACAGGACAACCTTCTCCCAGGGCTCTAAAGACACCAGGACTGCACAGGCTCTAACACTACAGGTTAAGAGTGAAAAGCTGGGACCCAAGCTGAGTCAGAGGGAGGAGGAAGGCTCCCTGGCCCTGAGAAGGAAGCGATTGGGCTCTGAGTCCCCACACAGTGAAGGGCCGAGGGAGCTTAGCAGCTTGAATATTGGGACCTGGGAGTGGGGAGAGGACATGGGATCCTTGGACCACGGGTAGAGGATGTCTGGACCCGAGTTCCAGGTCTTCCAGAGACAGGGATGTGAGGTGCAGCCCCATCAACTTGATGGGGATGGAGTCAGAACAGTAAGCGCTGTTCTTGATGAGGATGGAGCCGGGTGTCCAGTGACTTCTGTCGTGGGTGGGACACTTGGGGTCATGGGGTCTCTTACCTGTTCAGTGGTGTCCAAGACAAGAGCGGACGATCAGCGCTGGACAGAGGCAGGCAGGGAGTGTCGCTAAATGGCACTGGGAGGGGCTGGCACTAGGGGTCCCAGAGGTACACAGGCGAAGCACCTGACCCCCTCCCTGGGGAATCCTGGGAGCTTAGCAACAAGCTGAGGTTCTTAAAGAAACAGAGACAGGACCTCAGCACTAGGGCAGAGGAGGAAGGATTTAACCAAGGTATTTTCCCTTTGAAGCCCAAGTCTGGCCAGGTATGGTGGCCCATGATCCCTGTGATCCCTGTCCTTGGAAGGCTGAGGCAGCAGGTTTATGAGTTCAGAGCTGTCTTGGGTGACATAGTGAGATTCAGGCTAGCAAGATTGTGTGTTAAGAGCCAGGAGTGGTGGCCCATGCCTTTGATCCTAGCATTTGGGGGCTGAGGCAAGAAAACTGCCACAAATTTGAGGCTATCCTGGGCTACAGAATCAGTTCCAGGCTAGCCTGGGCTACAGTGTGAAGCCTTGACGGAAACAAACAAAAAACCAAAACCCAACCAATCATACACAAAAGGCCCCACAAAACTACCAACCCAATAGATATAAAGCAAACTCCCCATATATGAGTTCTGGGCTCAGCCATGTGGTGCTGGCGCGCACCTTTAATCGGAGCAGTTGGGAGGCAGAGGCAGGTGGATCTTTGTGAATTCTAGGACAGCCTGCTCTACAGACTGAGTTCCAGGGCAGCCAGGGCTACAGAGAAACCCTGCCTTGAAAACAAAAGTCCCAAGCCCAAGGATCTAAGTGCCTGGTACCTTTCTACTTTAATCCTACTAGACCACTCTGTCCCCTTTAAAGAGTCCAGGCTTCCAGGTGTCCCTTTGCCAGAACCCAGGACTCTGAGGCCCTGTGTTGACATTTTTCAGGTTTGGGATTCCAAGCTTAGACACCCCCGTCTGCAGAGGTAGGAGTCCAGGCTCCTGTTGACCTACGTTGCCTGTGATATGGGAGGAGGATGTGCCTCTTTCTTCGCCTCCTCCGTTGAGACAGTCCTATTACGTAGCACCCTTATGCCTCAGAACTGCCGTGATCCTCCTGCTTCTGGCTCCCGAGTGCTGGTCAGACAGGTGGCCTGCCCTGTGGGGTGGCCTTGGGAGCCTCCTTTAAACGTGCCAGGCAGGGTGGGTTGGGCCTTATCTTCACCATGTCCCAGTGTCCCTTTGGGGAAGGCTTCCTCGGGGTGGCCCACTTCACGATGGTGATCTCACCTGTCTGCACACTGGCATCTCTTCTGCCTCTGCCGGGCCGCCCGCCCTTCCACACCCACCTCTCTCAGCCTTCCTCTCCATCTCCAGAGCCCTCAGGCCTTGCCTCGCTTCATGTTATTTCCTTCCGAGGGCCCTCCCTGCCTTTGTCCTGTCTGGACGTTATTCCCCCCCCCCCTCTCTCTCTGGTTCCTCCGTTCTCTTTCTGCCTCTCTGTGTCCCTGACTTGTGCTCTAATGGTCCCCCTCTGCAGTCTCTATTTTTATCCTTCTGACACACCCTTGTGTCCACCTCTCTGTCTGTCCTCCCCACTCTTCTTCAGTACCAGCTCCGGGTCCCAATTAGTTGGTGGCGGCCACAGCAGCAGAGGCCCCCACCAGGCTTCTCATTACCGCTGGCGGCTCCTAATGAGCGTGGGGTGGAGTGACCCCGCGCCCCCAGCCCAGCCTGCGTCACTGCCAAGGCGGGGGTTGTGCGGGTATATAAGGGGGGGATGTGAGCATTGCTCTGAGCCCACAGCACGGTAGGGGGGCTCGCGGGAGGCTGGCTGGCGGGGGTTCAGGGTGGGCTCCCAGGTTCTGGGCGGCATGGTAACATCGAGAGCCTGTCCCCTGTGCCCACAGGTGATGGAGACCTGCCAGGTGTCCAGGAGCCCCCGAGAGCGGCTGCTGCTGCTTTTGCTGTTGCTACTGCTTGTGCCCTGGGGCACCGGCCCTGCCTCAGGTGTTGCCCTGCCCCTCGCTGGTGTGTTCAGGTAGGTGTGTGACCCCGGACACCCAGGAAAGGGAGGCGAGCCCCCCAAGGGAAGGCGAAATAACACGCGGGGGGTGGGGAAGGGCTTGACGTTAGGACACATGGGAACCGGTGGCCGGCGGGGCCTGGCCCTCAGCCAACTGCATCCTCTTCCTGCAGCCTCCGCGCCCCCGGCCGGGCCTGGGCAGACTTGGGTACTCCCCTGTCTCGACGCAGCCTGGCGCTAGCGGACGACGCAGCCTTTCGGGAGCGCGCGCGCCTGCTAGCCGCCCTGGAGCGCCGCCGCTGGCTAGACTCGTACATGCAGAAGCTGATGCTACTGGACGCGCCCTGAGCCCAATAAAGAGCCTGCCCCGCAGCGACTGCGCCTTCTTGCTGGGCTGCCCTAGCATGGGTGTGCGGGGGGGGGGGGGAGAAGGTCGGGGAGCGCCGCCTAACTGCAAGCGATCCCCTCAGCCTCCCGGGTCCCTGCCCGAGTCTGCCCTTCCGGGTCCCCTCACCACTCCACCACTCCACTCTCCTTTTGTCGAAGCTGCGGGGGTGGGGGGTGGGAATCCAGCTCTGCGATGGTTGGGTTTTAATCATTTTAATTATTTTTTTCTGTGCAGTCCTGAAACTCGCTCTATAGAACAGGCTGGCCTCGAATTCCGAGATCCATCGATCTCTGCCTCCTGAGTGTCAGGATTAAGGCGTGCGTCACCACCACGGCTGTGTTAGGTTCCCCGCCCTTCCCCCCCCCGGGGGGGCGGGCTGTTTCTAGACAGTTTCTCTGTATAACAGTCTTGTCTGTCCATAAACTCAGTTTTTAGACGAGGCTAGCCTCGAACTCACAAAAATCTGTCAGCCTTTGCCAGGTGTACGCCACCACGCCAGGGTAGGGCCAGAGGTCCTTACCCTCTACGGGCTTCTTGTTCCTTGAGGTCTCAGTTCGGGCGGCCCTGAGTGCTGGAGCAGGCAACCAATCAGAGCCCGCATCTCTCGGAGGCCGCACTCCCCCAAGTCATCCGTCAGTTCTGCGAGCTTGCGGGGCTAGCGGACCGTGCCCTGATTGGCCTACAGAGGGTCGAAGGCCGCCCTCCTAAATTTGCATTTCCTGGAGGCGGACCGAGTACTCATTGGCCTTTACGCCATGAGGGCGGAGCTGCTGCTCGCTGCTCTAAAGCCTGGGCTACGGTGCGGAAACGGGTGACAGGCAGCGCCCACAGCTTCAGCGAGGTAATAACTCACGCCCCGAAATCCGGGTTTTGGCGGCTGTCTGCAGCACACACAAGGCTGCTTCGCCGCAGGACTCAGGGTGCAGCCAAAAGCGCTCGCATTTCTCCAAACCCCCTCCTTCGCCCTTCTACAACCAACCTTTCTCCCGCGGATCCCTCCACCTTCTGGCCAGCTCAGGCCTGTCCGTCCTCCCGCACATGATCTGCTCAGACCCCCTGGCTCCATAGGCGGCCACTCTTGTTCAGAGTGGCTGAGACCGCCCATCTCGGCCCTCTCCCGGGCACTAGGAACAGCTTCTGGGCTGGAGCCCTAGCCCCAGCTCTGCGTCACACTTGCGGCGCCAGCTGTGGCTGCCAGCTTGCCCCTCCTGAATCACACCCGAGTCTCCTTCCCACGGCTGGGATACCCGGCTGACGGACTGCCTGCCTGCAACACCCTCCCCTGCTACCCGTACCTCACCTGCAGTACCATTCAAAACTGAATGCACAGGGTGGGGGATGGTGTTCTCGGGTCACACCCACCTTGGCCCCGTGTTTGCAAATCATGGAGCCAGTGTTGGTAGAGAAAACTCGAGGGAAGCTGAGGATGTAGTCCGCGTTACTGGCAGCATGACCCTGGTGTGGGGCACTTATGGTCCAGAGGACCCTTCACAGCAGTGTGCCAGCTGGAGGGCTCAGAGGTCTGCACACCCGTGGCCTTGCTGGTGAGGAGCTGTCAGAGAAGCCTCTGGCGTTCCTGCCCAGACACACCCTGACTGACCAGGCGGTGTACTAGCAGTGCCAAGGGGCAAGCTGTGGTCTACTGTCTCCCTAGCAGCAAAGCGTACCTACCAGACACAACTCAGGGACAGCGAGCTCTCCCCAACCCTGCTCTATGATGAGGAAGCCGCAGTAGCAGCCTCAGAAGCAGGAGAGAAGGATGGAGAAAGCCTGGGAACCCTGGGTACCACTGTGACTCAGCTGACACCCAGTTGTCCTCCCTCGAACTTGTTTGATGAGGAAAATCATCCTGTGCTGGTCATTACTGCATGATTTGCTATTGTCAGAAAACAGGAGACAGCCAGAGGCCATGGTTACATAGAAACGATGGATGTAGGGGCGTGGGCCGTGTGCTGAGTCAGTGAAGGAGGCACAGGGGGGGTGTGGTATGGGGTCTGCTGGGAAGGGTGCCTCACACTGGTGGGGGCTGTAGGTAGTAGAGCTGCAGGTGTGGCCAAGAGGGCGTCGGTGACTGGCTGAGCAACAGGATGGACAGCAGCAGCAGCAGCAGGCCCAAGATGGGTGTGGGGACCAGCGGGTGCTGGCTGACTCTGGAGGGGGCAGGGCAGGCTGAAAGCGGCCCTAGGGGGACGAGGCACCCACCAACCCCTGGAGACACCTGAAGGGCACACCTAAGCCCTGGGGGGCGCTGGGGGCACGGGCAGTGCCGGGCCCAGGGCCTTCCGACTGGCACCAGGTCTCTCACCACAGGCACGAGGGCTTGTTGCACCTCCGGCACTTCTTGACAGCTGGAGGGCAGATGGGAAGGGCATTATTGCTAGGCTTGGTCTGTCCTAACCCTTTCCCAGTTCCCCAGTGTCCCTTTACCTCTCAGGAGAGCTTCCTGGGACACGCTCATGGCGAGGGGTTCCCAGAGGGCTGGAGGGGTCAATCTGGGAGGAAGAAGGGCATCAGAGTTTTTGGTCAGTACCCTGGATGCAGGCCACACAGACGTTGTCAGGGAGGATGACGGCCCCCCCTTCACAGGGCTGACTGAGTGCGGAAAGAAGCAGGGCTTGCTCAGTGCCCACAGTAGTAACAGGGTGGGACTTAGCCTTAGCACTGCTCCAGCTGCTTCTGTAGGTCTCTAGCCCCCGGGCAGTGGTTTACGGGTGCCTGTCCCTATGCTGGGCACATGGGCTGTGGCTGAGCTGTCTCCTTCAGTCCATTCCTGAAGGCTCTGCCAGCCTGGGGCCACTCCTCCTGTCTCAAACCTTTGTGCCAGCCAGGGTTTCACATGCCCACAGCTGCTCCAAATGCAATGCCCATGACGATGGCAAACCACCTAGCATATCAGTCCCAACTGCTAGGTCCTGCCCCACACTGGCTGGCCCAGAACTGAGCAGAAAGAGAGAGCAGGACTTCCTCCCTGAAGAGGTCTAAGTGCGGCAAGGCAGGCAAGGACTCCAGAGCCTGGACTGTCTCTCATCAAGTCCTTTACCTCCCCTGGAGATCGCCACCTTGCCCCCCACAGAGGGTGGAAGGGGGTGGGAGTTAGTGATGCATTGGGGGTGTGGCCACGTCTGAGGCTCCAGGCTCAGGGTGTGAGGGCTGCAGCCTGTACCTATGTGGCTGGGGTCTCTGGGGAGCATCCTGGCTGCCAACGGCCTCCAGCCTCCTCTCCACTCCCACCCCCGCCTCTCATTAGCTGCACTGAGGGCCTTGTTATCTCCTGACCAAATGATTTTTCTGTCTGTTCCTGAGGAGTTCAAGCTGGGGGACGGGGCTGAGACTAGTCCCTAGGCTTGTAGGGATGGAAAGGATGCTAGGGCTTGCCTACCAGGGTCCAGCTCTCCTCTTCTTCATGCTCTTCCTGTCTTCTGGACAACCTAAAGCAAACAACATCATTGGCCTCCCCTCCCTGGTTCTCTTCCCACAGGAAGCTGCAGATAGAGTGGACACCTTAGGGTCGGCTGGCCCCTATGTATGCTTTTCAGAGACTGAACAAAAACCAACTCTTGGGAGCTTGTGACCCCAAAAGTCGCAGAAGTCCTTGACCTCAGCTTCCTGCTTTTCCTCCATACCACAGACTCCAGGGTGTGAACTCTGGCACCCATTTCTTAGCCTTAGTCTTTCAGGCTTTGTAAGAGACTGGGAATATACGTCCCCTCTCAGCCCTGAAACCTCACCATCGGGCTCTCCCATGTCCAAACCACTTCTTGAGGTGTGCTAGCCCATGCTTCCTCAAGCGTATGCTTCAGGAGCAGTTTTGGAGGCCCTGGTATCAAGTTCCAGAGGCTGATGGCTCCACAGGGACCCAGGTGCCCCTGACACCAGACTATGCCTGAGGATCAGGGATCCAGCCCTGCAGCTGCCATCAAGCCAGCAGGCTCAGACACAGCTGCTCCCAGCCCAGTCACACTATACAGTGTGACCCCCTTACAATCCCCTGGGTTGTAAGCTGTTGAGTCCCCATTCCCTTGAGGTTGCGCCCCTGCCTCATCCCATCTTGGGCCCCAGTGTTTGTCACACCCAAGTCCTCTGCTTCCTACAGCAAAGTGGGCTGGATGTCCCACCCTCCCTCCCTCCCGATGACGTTGGAGGTCACACTGCTCAGAGCACCCAGGCAGTCCAATCTCAGCTCTGCCCAGCAAGTCCAATTAGAGGCTGTGCAGGGGTCTCATTAGCTGTGACAGCAGGAATCTGGAGAAGGGGGGCACCACAGGAAGCGGGTGGGGGGCCCTCTGACCAGACATCAGCGCTTTCCATTCTTACTCAAAGCCTCAGGGCTCAAAACACACCCCCATCAGTCACAGAGCTGGACTCGGGACCCATGGAGGTTCAAACCAGTCCCTCAAGGAATGGGTGCCCAAGACTGGTTCTACAGCCTGCAGGGTCTTCCATGGCTGAGAGCCCTCAAGACCCCACCGGCCTTGTTCCTGCATCTCTGGCTCCCTGTAGGTAATAACTGTAACCCTGTACTGTCCAGCCTGGTCCTTGCGGTCTCCTCTCACAGCCCCTAAGAGCCTCCCTGGGGTCCAGGTGCCCACCTCTTGTTGGAGCTACCAGGGTCACGGTGTGCTGAAGGCAGGGCCAGGCCCCGCGTTATGAGGCAGCCACAGATTGAGGAATGGAAGAGGAGGATGCTGGCTCTTGCAGAGTGCCATGGTCCTTACCCTCCAACAGCCAGAGCCACACCGCTTGTGGCTGAGGGAGAGAGGGCTCTGCCAACCACTCCTTACCTTAAAGATGATGCTCTACTTCCTTCTCTGGACACTGCCTCTCTCTGGAAGTGTCTCTGCAGAACATTAAGGTTTGGTCTCCTTGACTCTTTGCACCAGGGAACCTTCTCTCTGAGCTTCTGACCCAACTCCAGCCAGGCACCCTCAGCACCCAGGAAAAGCCACATATGCCATGGATGCTGGTGGCTCCGCAGCTCCTTTTGAGACTAGAGATCACTATTCCCGGAGTGCCCCCATGCACCAGCCTGTGCCAGGAGGGGCTCAGTACTTTCTTCCCACTTCCCTCTGGGGTCCTCAGGCTCTTCCCCGATCCTCCAATGGGCCCAGAGCCAGAGGTGTCTCCTTTGTGCCTCTGACATCCACTAACCTGAAACTTGTTATTTTGTTGTGTTCAGAGAGTGTCCTCATGTTGCTGGAGCTGGTGTGAGCTCACTATGTAGCAGAGGATGGCTTTGACCCTCTCCTGCTTCTAATTCCTAGGAGCTGGGATATGGCTGTGTGGCCACCTTGCCCCACATCTTTCTTCCTTTTTTTCTTTTCTTTTCAAGATGGGGTCCAACTCTAGCTCAGGCTGGCCTCAAATGCACGGGAAGCCCCCTGCTTCGGCCTTCCCAGGTCTAGCGAGTCACCACATCCATCCCAACAGTTTTCTAGTAATTGGTGACCTCCAGGCCTGTGCACCTGGCTGCTCTTGTAGCCTCTAAGATGTCCTCTAAGATGTCTGCCTCCCAAGCTCTGTTATTAAAGGCATGCGCCACCACTGCCCAGCAACTTTCCTCAGACACTTTTGTCTTCCACAATAGGCGCACTTGTAAGTAAGGGGTGACCACAGGGTTTCTCCAGGGCAGTCTGAGGGCAGGGGTGTGTCCTGTTGGCTAGGCTGTGCCATTAGCATGCAGCGGGATCTCTGGTAAACTCAAGGAGTAGATGACAGACCAGGAGGGCTGAGCCCCCTCTGCTCACCTGTTCCCTAGCGGGGTCCTCGGAGGGAAACTCAGCCTCCTCCCACCGCCACACTCCACACAGAGGACTGGAGAGGCTGGCACCCGATGCATCCCTCTCCTGGAAAACAGAGGCTGCATCCGAACCTGGGAGGGCCAGAGCAAGGGGGGCCCCAGCAGGATGGAGGTGGAGGAGCCGGGCAGACTGGTAGGCGGGAGTCTGGAACAGGAGGGGGAATGAGGAAAGGGACCATGGACTGGGAGGAGATGTTATGGGACATGGCCACAGGGGACTGGGAGGAGATGTTATGGGACATGGCCACAGGGGACTGGGAGGAGATGTTATGGGACATGGCCACAGGGGACTTCTCAGGGCTGGGGCTGAGAAGAGCAAGCTGGAGAAGGTGGTGACTAAGGTGCTGCTCTGGCAGCAGTGTGAGACCTCTGGGACTATGGGTCAGGAGTGAGGGTCTGCACAGGGACACATGGAGTTTGCATCCTCGTGTCCTCCAGAACATTCCATAGAAGCAGAGCTCACCTGCCAGATAGCCTGGATCTCCCAGTCCAGGGATGGGGGCAGTGCCGTGGCCCAGCCTCCTCTTCCTGCCTCAGCTGCTTCCAGGAGCCTGGCCACAGGGGGGAGGCCTATCTTTAGGTCTGTCTGCAGCCTCCACCCTGTGGCCCAGCCCCTTCCTGCCCTTTCTTGCCTGACCATCCACTTGACACCCCCCCCACCCCCCCCGCCTGTGACCTATCACTCATCCCCGTCCCCCTCCTGACCATCCACTCACTGTTCTGGGCCTTCCTGGCTCAGACTCAACTGCTCCTCCAGGTTCGAGATTTCTTGCCTTAGTTCCTGTAAGGAAAGCAGAGCGTGGGCCTTGGTGGAACCCCACATACTTTGGGCTCCCCTTCACAGATACAAACTGCCAAGGGACCAGGATGAAGAAACAGTGCCAGAAACTCACAAAGACTAAGAGAGCACAGAGGCCCAGAGCATAAGGCACAGCCATGAGCTTGACAAAGGCAGAGGAGACTCTTCTACGGTGGCAGACTCTGCTGAGGGAGGGGACAGGAGCTGCCTGAGAGGTGGGTGACGGGGGGGGGGGGGAAGGGCTGGAGAATGAAAAGACAGAGAGCCGCAGATGCCAAGACCCCATAAAGATGGCACTGGAGGTACCACGGGCACTCTACCTGGGTGGTGGCTCTATACTCCTCTAGCGTCTGGGCCAGACTTTCCGCATGGCGGGTACGCTGGGGAACACAGAGCCAGGGTTGAGCCCCCTAAGACATGAGGCTGCTGAAGTGGAAGCTAGCTGAGCCGGGAAGTCTGGAACAGAGTAGCTTCCAGACCCTGCAGGCCACACTGACCCGAGGAGGCCTGTCTGGGCTGTTTGCCCAGGGCTCAGAGCTGGGTGGGCTCCCACCACGTGAGGCAGGGGCTAGGAAGACATGCTAAGGGCAGGCCTGTCCCCTCCCTGTCCCTCACCTCTGACAGGACAGCTTCGCGCTGGCAAATGAGTTGTTCACACTCACAGAGCTGCCGCTGCCAAGGAAGGAGCCTATTCATCTCTTCACCCAGCCTCCCAGCAGCCCCCATATCTCCCCTCAGCCTCCTACTGCCCCCACCAGGTCCCGGCCAGGCCTCCCCTCAGCCTCCAGTAACACCCATGGGTGTCAGCTGCTCGGAAGGGGACTCCAGCTGAGCCTCTGGGCAGCCCTGAGCCATGTGGGCTCTGACGCAGGACCCCATTCTCTCTCAGCAGTGCAATGCTGACTTGGGTGCGGGAGGTGAGCTGCACCTTCAAAGCATCTTTCTCTATGGCCAGCTCCTCACTCCGCCTCTTCACTCCATCTCGCTCTGCTAGCAGCTTCCCGTTCTGGAGGGAAAACAGCCTTGCTCACCCAGTCAGTCGCAGTGCCAATGCTAACAGCTGACATTCAGTCCTGTACTCTCCCACCACCCTGCTGGGCCCTCAGCTGGGATCTCTCCATAGGTGGTTTGGACTTCACCGGGTCCCTGTGAGTCAAGTGAGTGAATAAGTTCCAAGCACTTGGCACGTGAGATTCCATTTCCTTTTCCGTTTTTAAAGATAAAGGCAACTTGGGCACAGAGGAATGGAGTAATATGTTCCGGATCACAAAACTCTTATGCTAACACAGGCCAGTGAAGGTTAATGACCGCAGACATTTAGAGCAGAGTCGGTAGTGCCTCGAATATACCAGATATAAATGTTAGAGATGAATGTTTACAGATACATACTCTTGTTTCCTAACATACAAAACTAAAGGAAAGTATGAGCCCAGAAAACACACACACACACACACACACACACACACACACACCAATACATAGCGTGGACTGGCTTTGAGCTTATGATGCTCCTGCTCCAGCAGGTATGGGCCACTACATCTAACCCTCATGCCCAGCTGCAATAGTTATATTTTGGTTTCTTCTTTTCCCCATATAGTTTGCTTCTCTGTCTAATTCAGTCATTTGAAATCAGATCTCCCGTTTCCCCCGGAACAACCTCAGTGTTTACCTACTCACGACAACTTATTTCCTTCAGCAAAACCGTAACTCAAAGTTAGCAACAAAATCAACCAGTCTTGTTGTTTGCCTGGCGTGGAGACTATGGCTGGCACACAGACGACTTTACCCAGGCCTGTGTAGACACCATGTCCCCAGATGTGGACCCCACATGTCCCCAGTGTGCCCCTTTCCCTCCCTGCAGCAGGCAGGGAGGTCCAGGGCTTGCACTGTGCACATTACATCAGCTCTGTAACAGAACCCTGTTGTGGCTGTACAGCCATTAATAGCATTCTTTCCCTCGGCTCTACAGAGGAAACTGAATAGATGCTAAAATACTTGGCAAAGCCACCCCCCTCTGTGTGATATCTAATCCTGCCTCTATTTTTTTATTTTATTTTATTTTTTTCAGAGTCAGGGTTTCTCTGTGGCTTTGGAGCCTGTCCTGGATCTCACTCTGTGGACCAGGCTGGCCTTGAACTCACAGAGATCCGCCTGCCTCAGCCTCCCTAGAGTGCTGGGATTAAAGGCCCCAGGCCCACTTGTAATGCTCAACCTTTTCATGGGGCAGATGAAGCCCTGGGTGACAAAAGACAAGTGGTGTCACTCTAGCCACAAGGTGCACAGGGCAGAAGTGGGGACAAGGAAGGGGAAGCAGAAAGTGCTAGCCTAAGGCTCACCCCAGGAGGCCGGAGCTGGGTGTGAGGAAATAACCCATCATCTCAACACCAGGGAAGCTGAGGAGGGAGGATTGCTTTGAGTGCCAGGCCAGCCTGGGCTACACATCAAGACCTTGTCTCAAAAGTAAAAACAAGCCAGGCGGTGATGGAACACGCCTTTAATCCCAGCACCCAGGAGGTAGAGACAGGCTGATCTCTGAGTTCAAGGCCAGCCGGGTCTACAGAGAGTTCCAGGACAGACAGAAACTCTGTCTCAAAAAAATACAAACAAACAAGGATATGAAAATTCAAAGTCCAAGTTTCTGGGCACCTGAAGCCTGACACACAGTCATCCTTCTGCAGAGCCCCGGGAGATAGAGGCCACCCCTTCTGGTTCCCAGCCTTGCTCCTGCTCCAGGCCACCAATGGCTCTCACTCACCTCAGCAGCCTGGGCTGCTGCTGGGTGAAGGGCGGAGGAAGGGCAGCTGGGAGTGTGCTGTGTCAACACTGTCCACCTGCTGGGACCCAAAGCACCCTGCAGCCTTCTGCAGAAGCAGGGCTGTGGGTTTTGGGATTCAGCCAGCAGCCAGAACTTTGGAGGCTGAGTGTCCCGTTACTTTAGCAGGCCCGACTGTAACCTGAGATCTCAATCTCTAGATGTCAGTGGATAGCTGCAGCAGGCCAGCCAGGACCTGAGAACAGCTCTAGCTATGGAGTTAGCATGCCGACAGTTCCTCTGTAGGGGCAGGAGGCAGGGATGCTGGTGGCTGGTTCACAGGGCTGACTCTACTGTCTTGCATCATGTGCCCTGGTGACATGGAACCCTGCCTGTTAAAGGAGCTGCCATCCCAACCCCATCTGGCTGGCTGTCTTAGTTCCATGCTGAAGGTGAGACACCCTCCCAGGCTCCTTTCTACAGGGAGAGGCAGGACTGTGCCTGTGGCTGGTGCCTCCTCATCTGCCTTGAGCCATCTGTGACTATAAAGCCACAAGCAGGAAAACAAAACAAAAGAACTGATGAGAGACCGGGTATGCAGGAGCTTACCTACAGTCCCAGATCTTACCTGGCTAAGGCAGAAGGCAAATCCAGCCCATACTATACAGTGAGACCCTATTACAAAAAAATCCAGGGCTGGGGACATGACTCAGTGTTGCTTGCCTAACACATTCTCAGTATACCATCACTTAAGGGAAACAACAACAAAAACAGGGCTAGAGAGATGGCTCATTGGTTAAGAGCATTGTCTCCTCTCCCAGAGGTCCTGAGTTCAATTCCCAGCCACCACATGGTGTCTCACAATCATCCATTAATGAGATCTGGTGCCCTCTTCTAGTGTGCAGGCATACATTGCAGACAGAGCACTCACACATATAAATAAATAAATAAATAAATAAATAAATGAATGAATAAATAAGTAGAACTTAAAAAAAAAAAAAGCCATTGAGCCACCAGATAACCCAGACACCAGAAACTGCTTTGGGCATAAATGGCCTGTTCCCTTGGGGCTGGCATGTTATAGCCCGAAGATGCTGTAGACATCAGGGAGCAAACAGGACAGCCAGCACAGCTGGGCGCCTGTGAGCTGTGACTCTCAACATAACACTGGTTGTCCTGAAACTCACTATTTCGACCAGACTAGTCTTGAACTACCAGACATCTGCCTGCTGGGATTACATCTCCTTCATTCTTTAAAAAAACAAAAAAATGTTCTGGGGACTGGAGAGATGGCTCAGTGGCTAAGACCACTGGCTGTATTTCCAGAGGACCCAGGTTCAATTCCCAGCACCCACATGGTGGCTCACAACCATCTGTAAATCCAGCTCCAGGGGATGCCATACCCACTTCTGGCCTCCACAGGCACTAAGCACTCACATAGTGTACAGACATACGTACAACCAAAACACTCATCGACAAATTAAAATCTTTAAAAAATGTTCTACAAGATACTTTACCCCGACTGAATGCAGCAGCCATCCTGCCCAGGGACTCCCCTTGCCCTGGAAGGGGTAACAGCTCAAGAGGAGCCACAGAACAGGGAAGAGAGGCCTAGGGTTTCAGTAAAAAGCCAGTGCAAACACAGGACAGAGACTCAGGAGAGGAGCTGGGGTCCATGAGGCAGAGAACTGGGGGGGGGGGGAGCTGAAAAGTCCTGGCTGCTCTGAGTGAGCATCCCTCCCACTCACCCAGAACTGTTGCAGGGCAGCAGAGGGAGACCACACAGGTGCAGGCCCCTGAGCGCCTGAGCTGAAGCCACCGTCCAGGAGGAGGCAGGCAGAGCAAGGGCTAAGCCCAGATCTGAAGGCAATTCTGACCTCCCCAGGGGTGGCTAAGTGGATGGGGGTCAAGTGAGGACCAATGCTGCCTGGGATGTGAACACTGTGGGGAGGAGGGATGGTGTGGGTATCATTTAACACTCGGTGAGTTTCAGCGTGGACCAGAACTCAAGAGTGAACAGGAACGTAAACAGGTCTGAGTTGCAGGGGCTGGCCCTCAGGTAACACCATCATATCCCCCTTATCACAACCCGGCTGACTGTGCAGGCTCCTGGAGAATACCCAGGCCTGGTGGCTGCTTGCCCAGCATGCCCAAGGCCCAGAGCTCCATCTCCAGCACCAAAATGTAACACAAAAGCTTAGAAGAGAAGGGAAGAATCGCAGGCCTGAAGGTGGCCCATCATGCTTCTGCAGGTGTCTTCAAAATGTTCTAGAAGTTTTTGCTGTTTCATTTGCATTGCCAGGGATCAAACCAACATACTGATATAAATAACGCTAACTGACATGGTTTTTTTTTTTTCAGTATTGTTACATAGCCCAGGCTGGCCTTGAACTCAAACTCCTCCTGCTTCAGACTCCTGAATATTGTATGGCAGCAACACCAGCTTACGGGATTTTCCTGTGCACAGCCTACATACCCTGCCTCGATTTAGGGGTTTTCTAGGCATCTTCTGGTTTAACCTTACACCGACCCATGTGGTGAAGCCACTGGCTTGCTCCCGATGGTGGGGGCATGGCAATGCAGACAGCCTGAGCCCAGGGGCACAGCCTGTGGGCCCCTGGAGGTGGGCGGGCCTCAGCTTACCTCCTCCTGTAGAGTCTCCACCTCAGCCGCCAGGTGCTGCTGCTCCTTCTCCTGACCCACCCCAGAGAGCACAGAGTCGGTTGCAGTCCCGGCCGTCACCCTCCCTGAACTGAGGCATACTGTCACTCAAGAGCTGGGCTGAGGGCTCATGGCAGGTAGGCCTGGGGGAATGTGGGGAGAACAGGACCCAGAAGTCCCGTAACCTTTGCCCCTTCACCTCTGCCCTTTTGCTATAGCCAGATATACCGGCTAGCACTCACAGTGTGCCGGGCCTGGGCCATTAAGCTTCGGTTTTGCTCTTCCAGGCTCTTGGCCAGAGACTTCAGGTCCTCTAGCTCCTCATCCATAGCCTTGGCCACCTGCAGGGCCTGTTGGGTGCTGATGGGTGGCACAGACGAGAGAGGAGGCAGGGAAGTGGGACAAAGCAGCCAGACTGGGGGACACTGTTCACTGTTCCCTGGGGACAGACCCTGCTAGAACAAGGGCCACAGGGAAAGGGTTGGGGTGCGGGTGGGACATTGCTCACTTTTCACTGGGAGAGCACGGGGCCACACAGCAATGAAAGGAGGGGCGGAGGAAAGAAAAGGGAGCTAGGAGACGCGACCCAGGTAGAAAGGGGCGGAAGACAGGCGGGGCAGTAGCGTGGCTCTGTCCCTGAGGCCCAGGCTCTTTGGTAGGCAGGCGGGCACAGACGCTCACCTCCGCAGCTGCTTGCGCAGGGCTGCAATTTCCTCCCCTAGGCGCGCTGAACCCTCCTCAGCGGTCTCCACGCTGTGCTGCAGCTTGGCGTTCTCCCCAGCAAGGCGGCGGTTGCTGAGCTCTAGGTCCTCCAGGCTGCTCAGCAGCTCCGCGGTGGCAGGCCTGAAGGCAGCAAGGGCCTGGTCACCAACGTGGCTCCGGCTCCGGCTCTCAGTCCCCGTCTCCCAGGTGGGGCAGGTGCTGGCAGCTCGGGCAAGGGCTCCTCTGGAGACAATCGGAATAAATTTCCAAGGCTCTCCTGGGAGGCTCTCCAATGCCCCCACTCCCAGGCCCCAGATAGGCTCGAGAGGATGGAGTGGGGTGGGGGTGGGGGGGACAGGCACCCCTCAGGCCTGGGGTCTTCTCCTCCAAAGCTCTCTAGGTTGGCTGGCTCCTCTGCTTCTGGGCATGCTGGAAAGAGACAGACAAAAGGAGGTTGGACTCTCTGCCGACTAAAAGTTTGGGTGTCAAAGGACCCAGGAGTTTTCCCAGGGCCCTGGCAGCCCAGTTTCCCACATGTAGCTTTGGGTTCCCTGGGCTGAAGGACTCTTATAACGTAGGCTGCTTTATGCTTGCCTGGAGCTCAGCCAGGTACTCGGAAACAAGGTCGCTCCACTTCCCAAGCCCACTCTTCTCCTGCCTAGCTTCCCTCAGGCCTCAGCACCACGGTCTGCCAGGGCTGGCGTTCAGCTGCTTTTATCCTACCTCCCACCACACCCCTGCGTGCTCTCTCCCTGGGCATTCCCCAGCCGCTGCTGCCGCCTCCTTTCTCTCTGTGTCTTTCCTTACTTGACCTGGCCCAACCCTCTGCTGCTCACATCCCTCCCGTCCCCAAGACTGAAGAAGCCTCTAGGTTCAAGAGAATGCCAAGAGCTGGGTGTGGTGGCATACATCTTTAATGCCAGCAGCCAGGAAGCAGAGGCAGGGTGATGTGATTTTTATGAGTTCAAGACCAGCCTGGTCTACAGAGAGAGTTCCTGGATAGCTAGGGCCACACAGAGAAAGCCTGTCTCAAAAAAACCCAAACTGAAACCAAAGCAAGCAAGCAAGCCAAGAGGGCTGCAGCCTGGGTTCAGCGCTGCGCCCTTTAGTGGCGCACTCTAGGGTGTGAGGTCCTGCGCACCCAGCACCCTAGCACATAGGGCTGCACCCAGCACCCTAGCATATAGGGCTGCACCCAGCACCCTAGCATATAGGGCTGCACCCAGCACCCTAGCATATAGGGCTGCACCCAGCACCCTAGCATATAGGGCTGCACCCAGCACCCTAGCATATAGGGCTGCACCCAGCACCCTAGCATATAGGGCCGCACCCAGCACCCTAGCATATAGGGCTGCACCCAGCACCCTAGCATATAGGGCTGCACCCAGCACCCTAGCATATAGGGCTGCACCCAGCACCCTAGCATATAGGGCTGAGAAACAGCTCTTATCAAGGAAAGGCAAGCAGGTCTAAGAGGTGGGGGTGGGCGGGGCCAAGAGGAGGAGCCTAGCAGGCCAAGACTGCCCTGTGCCAAGCAAAGACTTCAATAGTGAGGTGCCCTAGGGCCCCTCAGCTGGACAGCAAGGAAGCTGCAGTCTCCCCAGCCTCTACACTCCCAGCTGGAGCTGGGAGGAGGGGATGGAAACCCTGACCCAAAGCCCAGGGTGAGGGGACTGTCGCACAAAGCCACCACAGCTGCGGGCGGAGCAAAAGCCCCATCCTTTGGTCCTTGCTGTGTGGAGTGAGTAGATGAGAAACCCCCCCCCAACCCCGCTGACCCCCGCCACCCGTCTCCTTCTATAAATAGTCTCACCAGATGGCAGGTGTGGAGAAGCCATGGCTCCCCCGAAGGCGGTCTCCTCTGCCCGCTCTAATCCCCTGTATCAAAGGCAAGGGGCTCAGGTCCCCCCACAGCCCCCACAGCCACCACAGCCACGACCTGTGCCTGTCGGGGTCTGGGCGGTGGACGGGGGCACATCTGGAGAGATGGCTCTGTGGGTGGAGGGTAAGGCCAGATGGCAGGGCCTGGGCTGTGAAGGGCAACTCTTCCTATTGTCAGCCCCTTGTAGTTCTACCCCTGGGCCCCTGCAACCGTCACCCTCAGACCCCTTTCCCTTCCCTATCTTTTCACAAGCCTTTCCTTAGCCTCAAGCTAACCGCACGCACGGGGTCCCTGGCTGCAGAGCAGGTGGGCGGCTGGTGCAGGGACTCACCCATGCAATTGACAGGCTGCAATCCAGTCCCGCATGACTACCAGAAAGGTGTCCAACTGCACAGTAGCTCCAGCACCTTCCCCATAAGGGTCCAAACTTCGGGCCAGTGTTTGGAGGCGCACATCCTGGGGACCCTGCCCCGTCACAGCCTCCAGGTAGGCCAGGAGGTGTGTCACAGCCACAGTGCCTGGGACAGAGCATGGTGGGGAGGACGGGACTCGGCAATGGCCAATGGGGCAGGCCATGGCTTGTGGACAGTTACTGTCATCAGTGGGTTGGTGACAGTCCCACGGCATGCAGAGGAACCTGGGGCAAGTCCCTCCCCTGAGTCAAGTTTTCCCGTCCATCTCAGAGTAGACCAAAAAGGATGAGCCAGGGCAGTGCTCAATGCTGAGCCAGGCTTCCCACTCCATCCCTTACCCATGGCACTTTCCTGTTCCTCAAGGACCCAGCCCCCATGTGGCTCCCCAGCCCCCACCTGTCTTGTGAGGATCACAGGCTTCAAATGTGGAGTTAAGGATTTGTTCCTCTAGACTGAGCAGTGGTCCTGAATTCAGTCCCTCAGGCTGCTCCCAGAGGTACACTGTAGAGAAATGAGGGCCGGCAGTGAGTGAGGAGACACGGGACTTTGCTGCTGAGTTGGGGATAATTTGCTCAGAGCTGTCTGTGGTTGGGACACAGGACAGCAGGAGGCTTCCAGTAAGGCTCTTGAGTCTCTGCTCCCACTGGGCCCCTCTCTCAGGCCAGGGAATGCCCCCTGCTATCTGCCTAATGTTTTGTTCCCACTGGGCTCAGGGGCCATTAATGAGCTCTGAGATGACTCCCACCTCCAGCCTCCCAGGCTACAGGCAAAGGGCACCAGGCTTGAGGAAAGCAAGGAAGAGGATTCTGGGAAGAGCCAGGATGGGGGTGGCCCAGGAGCCAGGAACAATCCGATAAGGCGTGGGCGCCTACATTGATCCCTCCCAGCAGCCCTTTCCGTTGCCCAAGGGACCAGGTCTCTCATCCACAGCATGGCGTCATCAGTCATCAGCGCTGGAGGAGCTCAGGGCCGGCACCAAGGGGAAGCGGAAGAATGGGGCTGTCTAAGCAGGGGGGCAGGGGTTGGGAACAGAGCCTCCTGGTAGTCTCCCCTGAGTTGGCAGCACCCAGCATGTCTGTGGCAAGACTCTTTTTCTTTGGGAGGTCTGTTTCCATACCAGTAAAATCCCTCAAGACGACTGAGAAGGATGCTCCACCCCCATATGTGAACATGTGTGCTATGCTCAGTGTGTATGTGCAATACGTGTGTGTCTATGTGAATATATGTACACACACATATGTAATGTGTGTGTGTGTTGGTAGGGCATTGTGTGTGTGTGCCCATGTGCCTAGCTTCTTCCAGGATCTGCTAATCTACAGCTATATTCACAGCTCACGAATATAGCAGGCAGGCAATACATGCTCCACACCATGGAGCTTCTCCAGGCTGGAGGCGCTTTCATACCTTCCATTGGCCTGGCTTGCTGAGATGAATGCCCACCGCACTTGGCTGCAGGGTTAGAGTGTGAGCTAGGGATGAAGTGAGCAGCTGGTCCCACACCCCCAGGAGGCTCAGGTCTCAGGTCTGAGCCTCAGCAGTGTGCTCTAGGAAAGCTACTTCCTTCCTAGAGGAGACTGGGACAAGATGTGTGTGGGCCTCTGCTTGGCACCTAACTACAGACACTTTAGGAGCATCGGAGCCACGGCAGCTGCTAACCCTGTACATGGGTCTGAGGCAGAAGCATCAGAAGCTGCTACACTCGCCTCCCGCACAGGAGCCCTCTTCCTCACCCTCACACCCTTCCAGACTCATCGCACCAGTTTGATTTGCACCCTTTCCGGCTCCCGTGGGAGGGCACGGGCACTAGGCGCCCAGGTTAGGTGGGGGAGGCAGACTTCAGCTTTTCTACTGCTCTTCATCATCCAATGTTACAAAGGAGGGCTGTGCCCAGCAATGACACTGGTTCAGACACACTGTCCTAAGAGAGAGGCACTGTTTCTGCCCTCTCCTTCCTCCTTTACTTCCCAGCTCTGCCTCTATCTTTTCTTTATTTTTGGTTTTAGAAAGGGTCTCTCCGTATATTCCTGGCTGTCCTGGAACTAACTCTGTAGATCAGGCTGGTCTTGAACTCACAGAGATCCATCTGCCTCTGCCAGGTTCCAGCTCTATTTTTCTTTTGGGATATTTCTTCCCATTTCTTCCCCAATCTCTCTCACATGTCCAGCCTTTGTCCCGTGTCCCTCAATCCTGTTTTCTCCTGCCCTCCCATCTTGTTACTCTGTTCCAAGGGCCTTCTTTCTACTTTGCCATCTCTGTCTTTCAACCCTTACTTTCCTAGGGCAGTCTCAGGAGTCGACTAGGCTATGGTCATAGTTCCTGATGGCTGCCCGCCCTCTGCTGGTGCAGGTGAGGGTTAGCTGGCATCATTCCCCTTAAGCCAGGCAGCCCTCTAGTCCGCCTGTAAAACCCTGCCATCTGCAGAAGTTACTCCAGGCTGAGGTGCAGATCTCAGCTTTGAGCAAAGCTGCAGGCCTGCCTGTGAACATCCAGGAGCCTGGAAGACAAGATACTCCTGCAGTGACCCCATTCGACTATCTAGAGGAAAGAGCTTCTCAATCAGACTGGCTCTCCCTGGTTAGCTCATCCTCAGGGGCTGGCCCCGTGAAAACCTTCCTCCCTGAGCTGATGTGTGCTGGCTCCCACACCTACGTATCTGCGTCTGCCCACAAGGCACCAGACTTCCACAAAGAACAAGGAAGCAGGCAGTGCTCTGGCTAGCAGCACCGGTGGGCAGAAGCTGACTGCACTTGAGCAGGGGCAAAGATGGACCAGAGTGTTCTGTTAGTGTGAAACACCACACACTAGGTCTCAAACATTTCTGTAAACAGGAATAACTCAGCATGTTTCTATGCTGCTTAAAGCAGAAAGCAGTTTGTACGCACACAAAGCTAATGAAATCAGTTCCTACCATTTGCATTACCTGCTTGATTTGGCCTTGAACTTTCTATCTTCCTGTCTTAGCCCCTCAGTTCTAGGACTACAGGTATGAGCCCGTTGCCAGCTTTTCTCTTTTAAGAAATTGTTACATATGTGAACTGAGCATGGTGGAGCATGCATGTAATCTCAACACTTGAGAAGCAGAGGTAGGAGGAGTGAAAAGTTCAAAGCCAGACTCTGTCTCAAAAAACAAAAACCCAGAGCTCAGCACGGCTGAGCACAGCTCAGTGGTGACTGGTTGCCTAGCGCATACAAAACCCTGAATTTCACCTCCTGCACTGAGAGACGTGTGTGTGTGTGTGTGTGTGTGTGTGTGTGTGTGTGTGTGTGTGTGTACACACCCTGGAGAATATCAGCAAGAGTGGAATAGGTTCTGTGGAGTCACGCTCCAGGGGAGTCTTAGACCAAGCAAGTGATGGACAGATGCCAGAGGCGCGGCAGGGAGAGAGGGGACAGGGAACCTGTTTACCCCAGGAGATCTCACTGGCCCGCAATCTGAACACGGGACGACACACACACACACACACACACACACACACACACACACACACGCACGCACGGGCAGGCACACACCTGACACTTACCCCGCCATCCTTTGCTTCTGCCCGCCCTGTCTGACCCCCCTGCTCCCCCCCCCTCCAGACAGACACTTACTCTGTGCAGTGGAACCACTAGCCGGGTCCTCTGGCGGGTCCATGGACCACTCCCGCTTCTCTGTTGCTGCAGGTGAAGCTCCCACCTTCCCTGCACTGCTAGGAAGGTCGGGAAAGGGGCAGCCTGCCCAGATAGCTCCTAGGACAAGCAAAGTAATGGCTTTCTCAGACCTGCCGCTCTGAACTGCCCCATCTTTGCCCCAGGCTCTCAGAACCTGTTTGCCGCCCGCACCCCAACGCCAACCTGTTTTTATGGATTTGCAGTAAGGGCTGGGGAGCAGGCAGCAAGATCAAAGGGGGAGACAAGAGGGTGGGGTTGGCAGCTGCCCCCAGGGCTTGTGGCCACCTCTGTTCCCTGTAACCTGTCAAGTCACCCTCCCTGTCCCAGACCCCACCTGCTCTTCCTGCCTTAGGCCTTGCTCTCCCTGGGCCCATGTCCCAGGTCCCTCCCAGGCTCCAGCCCATTCCCACAGGCTGCAGAGCTGGCCTGCCTGGTTTCCCATCACCTCGGGGAAGGGCCTGCTTGGGTCTATCATGCCTGCCGCTCCTACTGTGGTCTCTCTGGGTCGCCTGCGTGTCTCCATCCTGCCCGGGGACTGCTCATTTGGTCCTGGGTTTGGACTGCCGGCCTCCTGAGCCACTTTCCGCTTGCTCTCCACGTTTAAGCCACAGTCAATCTACTGGTGGGCTCTAGGCAAGCGCTCTCCCGCTGAACCAGGCACCAGGCCTCACTAGTCAATCCCACACTACTTTACTGCTAAGTTACACTCCAGCCTTTTCATTTTGAGACAAAACCACCCCCAAGGTGGCCAGGTCGGCCTTGAACTTGTGATCTCTTTGCCTCAACAGGAAGGTGCTTCACTCACCAGGACTGCCTTCTTCCCTTTAGGTTTTTATTTTATGTGTGTTTTGTCTACATACGTATGCGCCACATGTGTGGCATCCGATTTCCTGGAACTGGGGCTACAGATGGTTGTGAGCTGCCCTGTGGGCGGTGAGAATTCAGCTGGGTGACTTGCAAGAGTACTGTTTCAGGTTTTGTTTCTTTGTAAACAAAACAAGGCCCCCTCTGTAGCCCTCACTGGCTTGGAGCTTAATGAAGACTAGCCCAACTTTGAACTCAGAGCTCCACCTGTTTCAGAGTGCTGGGCTTAAAGGCATGAGCCATCAAGCTGACACAAAGCAAGTCTTCTCAACCCCTGAACCACTTTTCCTGTCCATCAGCGATCTCCATGTCCTTTACCCTCCAGGACCACAGAAACTCAGCATGTCCTCCCCAGGCCTGCAGCTCCCTGGGTTCTCATCTGAGGGCTTGCCTGTCACAGTCCCTTGTGTGCATACGGACTCCCTCCTGTGCGCGCTGACATTGCTGCCCTGCCTCTGGAACAGCCAGGTCAGTCAAAATAAGGGTCACTTTTGTCTGGTGGGGGTGGCGCACGCCTTTAATCCCAGCACTGGAGTCAGAGGCAGGGGGATCTCTGTGAGTTCGAGGCCAGCCCGGTCTACAGAGCGAGTTCCAGGACAGGCTCCAAAAGCTACACAGAGAAACCCTGTCTCGAAACAAGACAAAACAAAACCAACACACACTATGACTAACCGCTAAGTTTCAACCTTTCTCGAAGATTGTAGCTGGGCATGTTTGGGAGGCGGGGGTGGCACACGCCTTTACTGCCTGCTCGAGGGAGGAGACCCTGTCTCCAGGACCAAACCCAAAAGGCCTTCGGGTAGCGGTGGTGCACGTGTTTACTCCCAGAACTGGGGGCGGGGGCGGGGCAGCGGCAGGCAAATGTAAGTATGGGTTCGAGGCCAGCCTGCTCTACAGAGCGAGCTCTGGGTTTACCAGGGCTACCCAGAGAAACCCCGTGTCGGGGAGAAAGCGAAAAGGAGAAGGAAAGGCTTCCCAGGGAGTGTTTCACCTGAGGGGATTTGGCCAGACCTCGGAGCTGGCAGGCGACGCTGCTGCAGGGTCGGGCGTGGCTCTGACGCGGCCCCTGCGGGGCAGTGTCACAGGCAGCTCGCACCTGCGCCGGGCCTCTCGGGACTCAGCCGGAGCCACCGACCGCGAGCGGCGGTTGCGAACGGCGCGGAGGAGGCGAGCTCACGCGCGCCTTTCCCGCCAGAAATTCAAATGAGCGGCTCCCCAAACCCCGCCCCCTCGTCCCCACGCCAATGAGCGGCTCCCTCAAAACCCCGCCCCTCGTCCCTACGCCAATGAGCGGCTCCCTCAAAACCCCGCCCCTCGTCCCCACGCCAATGAGCGGCTCCCTCCAAACCCCGCCCCTCTCGTCCCCACGCAAGCGCACACCTGGCCGAAGGCGCCCGCAGGTTCCCTGACCCTGAACGCCGTGGTGGCGCATGCGTAGAACTCCTCGCGAGGCTCGCCAGGCCCAGAGCCAGCGCATGCGCGCTGGCGGGGCGAGTGTTGGTGGCGCTGGACCACCCGCAGGCTTCGTAAGTGGCATAGGGTTTTCCCCTTGTGCTTGACGAAACAGCAGGACAGGGTTCGACTGTTCACCCCTCGCTTCTCGTTGGTCACTGAACCGAGTCCTTTCAGTCTTCTCTTGGGTCCGGACCCACCCGCTCCCATCACAATGATGCGCAGCCTGGTTCAGCCTCACTTCCGCTCCATGCCCTCCTGTGGCATCAATGCGTATCCAAGCTACCTTCTCCTACAATTCTTTACTTTCTACATTGCCTAGTTAGGTAGTCCAGGCTGGAGCAATCAATCACCCGGGCTACTCACACCTTTCCATTCAAGAAAGAGGAAGGGCAGGGACACGCAGCTTTTTAAAATGTGCGTTTTTTCCCATGGCGGTAAAGAAGGAGCCGCTGAGCGAGCGGCCTGATTCCCAAAGACCCTTGGGACAAAGCCCTCGTTGGTTTTGTCACGTCAGAAGACGCGTGTTTCCACGTCGTCTCTGGGTCTGCTCAGTGTGTTTAGTGCTATTGCCAGGCTTCGTCCCTGTGTGCTCTCTGCAAAATGACCAGGTGCTTACTGGCTAGCACCCAGGAGGCAGGGGCAAGAGATGAGGGAAAGCAAGGCCAGGCTGGCGTGCGGAACCCTAGGCTGGCCACCCTGCATGGTGAGACTGTCCCAAAAATAAAGCTGGTGAGAGACACCTGTCACCCATCCTGGTGACCTGGGAGGAATCCCCAGGGCCCCGTGGAAGGAGGTTCCCCGAATCCACATGCGTCCCATGTCATGTGTGTACCCTCCTGACCCTTGCTTAAAAACACGAAAATGGCGAGAGGGAGCTGGACACGTACCTCAGCTGGTGCAGTGAATTGGGCATGGTGTCGGACCAGCATTCAGGAGGTAGAGCCAGAAGTTCAAGGTCTTTCTCAGCTTGGCACATGGGACCTGTGTGCCAGTTAGGTTTTTGTCACCTAGATAAAATCTAGTCATGTAGAGTGAACCTCAACTGAGAAAATGTCTCGCTAGACTGATTGCCCTGGAGGCAAGTCCGGGGGCCATATTTCCTTGGTCATGTGTGATGTGGGAAGACCCAGCCACTGTGGGCAGAGCCACGCCCTGACTTCCCTCATTCATGGAATGTGATTTGAGAGTTGTACAATGGCCCGGCAGTGGTGGCCCACGCCTTTAACCCCAGCACTTGGGAGGCAGAGGCAGGTGGGTCTCTGTGAGTTAGAGGCCAGCCTGGTCTACAGAGCGAGTTTTAGGACAGCCAAGGATACATGGAGAAACCCTGTCTTGATAAACCAAAATAAATAAAATCAGTATTTTTAAACAAACATTTTTATATTAACAAACATTAATCTTTCAATATTTGTTGCTTTTCCTTTTGTAAGATCTTGAGTAATTTTGTAAAATCTAAAACATCTGGTGTGGCCCGGCAGGTGGGGTGCTTTAAACACTGGGGGCTTGGAAGGACAGACTGAAGGAAAGACTTCAGTAACAGGTACACATTACGGTGCCATAGGAGACTGTTTCCCAACTAAGAGACCATTGTACTGGCTGGTTGTGTGTCCACTTGATATAAGCTAGAGTTGTCACAGGAAGGAGACTCTGCTGAGGAAATACCTAGATGAGATCCAGGTGTAAGGCATTTTCTCACTTAGTGACTATTGGGGGAGGGCACAGCCCACTGTGGGTGGGGCCACCCCTGGGTTGTTGGTCCCGGGTTCTATAGAAGGTGGGTTTAAAACCAGGCGGTGGTGGCATAAGCCTTTAATCCGAAAGGAGATGGTGCTAGATGTAAGAAAAAACTTTATTTCCATACGGTGCTGGGGTAGGATGAGGGGCGCGCAGGGACATCGGGGACATCGGGTCCCCACCCTATAACTGTTGGGAAGGCCTGAGGATATACAGAAAGTGAGTCTTTCGTATAGGCAGCTTGATGTGTTGGGGGACACGGACCCCTTCCTCGAGGTTGTCCTCATGGGCACCCCCACGGAGCCCATCGCGGATGGCCTGCAGGCGATGTCGCTTTTCTGTGAGCCAGCTGCTCTCATCCTGGACGTCTGGCTCGGCCTTCCGCCTCGGCAGCTTCATGATCCAGAAAGCCACCCGCCGGGGCTCTGGGTGCAAACCGTCTGTGGCCTTCTGCATTGGCACCAGGGTGTCTCTCTCCTCCGCTTTGGGTACCTGGGAATGAGGCACAGGAAGAGCCCGGTCAGATGCTACACTGTACTTCCAAGATGCTGGGATGCTTCAACCTACATCTCCGCTCACCTGGTGCTTTTGGGTTAAAAAACCCTTTTTTGTGCAGACAGTTCTGTTTTCTGTCTGGCCTGCTGCATTCTTTATATAATAAGTTTGTCTTTATTCTTTTTTGAAAAGACTGTTTTTATGTGAACTAGTATTTTGCCTTTATGTATGTCTGTGTGACGATGTCAGATCCCCTGAAACTGGGAATGAACCTAGGTTCTCGGAAGAGCACCCAGTGCTCTTAAACACTGAGCTGTGTCTCCAGCACACAAATTTGTTTTTAAACTTTCACATTACCTTGGAGATTTATTTTATGTTCACATGCTAACTATGTGTACCACTTGAATGCATCAGCAATGCCTTGCAGAGGAGAAGAGCTGGGTTCCCAACACCCATGTTAAGTATCTCACAGGCTCATGTAACACATCTGGCCATTGTGTGGCTAAACTTTCTTTTATATAATTTATTTCATTTTATTTATGGATATTGGAAGTGAGGGTGTTAGTCTCCCAGAACTGGATTTACAGTTGTAAGCTGCCATGTGGGTGCCTGGACTGAAATGGAAACTGGGTCCTCTGAGAAAACAGCCAGTGCTCTTAACCAAAAGCATTAGCTGGGTGGTGATGGTGCACACCTTTGATCCCAGTGCTTGGGAGGCAGAAGCAGCAGGGAAACTTTTTGTGAGTTCAAGGCTAGCCTGTTCTACAGACCAAGTTCCAGGACAGCCAGGGTTACATGGAAAAAAACAAAAAACAAACAAACAAAAAAACTTGTATTGAAAACAAAATCAAAACAATGTCAGGTGCCAGGTGGTGGTGGTGCACGCCTTTGATCCCAGCACTTGGGAGGCAGAGGCAAGCAGATAGATCCCTGTGAGTTCAAGGCCAGCCTGGTCTACAGAGTGAGTTTCAGGGAAAACCAAAAGCAAAACAAAACAAAAAAGAAAGCCTTAAGTTTGGTGTGGTGGTTCACATTTGCAATACCAGCATTTGGAAGGTGAAGGCGGAAATATTGGGTCACCCTAAATTAAAAGCCTTAAATTATGCCAGGTGCATTCCTTTAAAACAAGCATCTAGGAGGCAGAGGCAGGAGGATCTCAGAGGTGGAGGTCAGCCTGGAATACGAAGCAAGTTCTAGGACAGCCAGGGCTACATAGAGAGATTCTGTCTCAAAAACAAAACAAACAAAACCCAAACCAACAACAACAAAAAACCCAAACTAAAACAAAGTAAAACACAAAAACAAACATGGTGAGTCACCATTTCTGGCCGCCTACATCAAGTTCCTGTTTTGAAATTACCCTAACCTTAGTTGGGCTTGATGGTGCAGGCTTGTTTTCTCTGTTACCTGTAGGTTGGGGCCAGCCTAGGCTGCAGAGTGACCCTATCTCACAAAGAGGCTGTTAGTAAAGTGTGTGTGCCCAACTGCGGGAACTGAGCATCATCCAATAGCCAAGATCTGCAGCACTTGCTTCAAATGGCCACCCTGGGGTTGGGGTCGGGCGGAGACAAGAGGATCCCTGGAGTTTGCTGGTCAGCCAGCTTAACTGCACTGTGGATGAGGTTCAGATTCCGTGAGAAACCTCTGTCTCAAAAAAATAAGGTAGAGGCCTGTTGTGGTGTCCCACACTTTCAGACCCAGCACTCAAGGCAGAAGTGGGGTGGAGGCAGGCAATCGAGTTTGAGGTCAGCCAGGGTACACAAGGAGACCCTGATTCAAAAACAATAAAAAGGGCCCGGCATTGGTGGTGCATACCTTTAATCCCAGCACTTAGAAGGCAGAAGCAAGCGGATCTCTGTGAGTTCAAGACCAGCCTGGTCTACAGAGTGATTTCCAGGAGAGGCTCCAAAGCTACACAGAGAAACCCTGCCTCGAAAAACAAGAAAAAACAAACAAAATACAGAAACAAACAGAAAAACAATAAAAAGGGAAGCAAATAAATAGGCGGAGAGTGATTGAGGAAGACACTCAGCAGCTTCTTGGGCATCTCCATGTGTGTACATGTGTGTACTAAATCAAAACAAACAAAACATCTCTGAGATACGCTCCGTGTTTCTGGAATTGATGGAGACTCTAAAATTCTCCGGGAAGACCAAAACACTTGCTGAAGTTTGTAAGTAGACTTTCTGTATTTGTTTTGTGCCTCGGCTGGCCAGGCACTTGCTTTATAGATCAGGCTGGCCTCCAACTCACCGAGATTCCCTTGCCTCTGGCCCAAGATTGTGGTATTCCTCCTGCCTCAGCCCCTTGACCTGTCCCTCTTGACACATTATCACACCGAGCCCCAGAAATTTTGAGGCTATTCCATGTACAGAGTGTGCACAGGCTAATTTTAGATGCCACCTCGACACAGCCTAGAATCACCTGGGAAGACATCCTGAACAGGGAATTAGATCAAGGTCTTTAATTCATGTAGGAAGACCCACCCTTTGCAGGCAGCATCCCTAGGCAATGGGTCCTGAACCAGCTAAGACAGGACAAAGCAAGCAAAGATTTGTCTCTTGTGTCTCTTTGCTCTTGACAGTGGAAATAAATGATGCCATGTGCTCCCCTAAGGGATGGGCTGTAAACCCAATGAACCCTTTCCTTTCCTACACCGCTTCTGGCTAAAGTATTTTATCACAGCAAACTGGAACAGTTTGGCACCGTGGACTTCCTCAACTATAGAAAAATGCTGGTTCCTGGGTACCTTACCTTCCAGTCGCCGTCTGTGTTCCCCTCTGGTTCGATGGAGGCCACCACCTTCTCAGAGATGAGCACCTCCCCTGTCCTGTTGTCAGTCATCTGTGAGGGTTACAGAGAGTCAGAACAAACCTTCCCTCCTTCACCTTCCATTCCCCTGCCGGCTAAAGCAGCTTGCTAGGTGGTGGTGGTGGTGGTTCAGGAAGGACTGTCCCGGTGAGACACCTTGTCTATCTGCAGGTGGCTGGAGAGGGTGTGATTCCCCATTCTGTGCTCCTGGTTCTCTTCCTGATGGAAGTTCTTCGGAAGGTCCCGGAAGTCCATGGGGGAGGAGAAGAAGTTGTCCAGGTCCCGTAGCAGGTCATCCTAGGGCCAGAGGGAGACCATGCGTACACCTGCTCCACTTTCCAGGCTGTCCCTGGCTCCCTCCTCCTTCCCTCTTCCCTCCACCTCCCATCCTTACATACAACCCCAGCCCCCTGTTATGTGTTTATTTTGACTGGGTCTCACTATGTAGCTCTGTCCTGACTTTATCTCCAGGTGCATGGGTAACCAGGCCTGTCTCTTAATTTTTTGAAACGGTTTGACCCAAGCTGCCTAGGCTGACCTGGAACTTTCTCTTTCACACGTTGGGATTTCATGTGGACATGAGCCATGGCCACATCCAGGACCTGCTCCCTGGGATGATAGGATTTCGGTCCGGCCAGGCCCAGCTTCTCTTCCTATTTTGTGTTGTCCTGTTCCCCATCATCTGCCTGCTCAACCCACTACCTTGTAACCCTGCTTTTCTCTGAGATAAACTCATGTATCCCAGGCTGGCCTCAAACGTCTATGTAGATAGAAGAAGGTGGTTTTAGGCTTCCTTTTCACCTGCCTCCACCTCCTGAGCGCTGGTATAACCTGTGCTGGGCAACCATGCCCAGCGGTGTGCATGCTAAACAATCATTCTACCATCGGAGGCCCTTTCTGCTCTGTTGACTCCTTTCCTCTTCTGCCTGACCCATCTCTCTGTCTCCCAAGCCCTGCCATCACTCACTTTTAGGAACAGTCGGCTGAAGCTTTGGAGAAGACTCTGAAGGCCCAGAAACCCGGAGGAGTTCTCCTGAGACTGGACATCATGGAGCGGGACGGCAGAGGAGGGCAGGAAGGTTGAGAGCAGCAGCAGCAGGGCCCCCAGTCGACACATTTCGGGCGGGTGGGGGGCTGTGACAAGGGCAGTTTCAAATTCCCCAATCACTCTTCTGTGGCCCCCTCCCAGGCCCGGCCCGCCCACCTGCCGGCATCCCACGGCTCTGGTCGGCACTCAGGCAGATTCCGTCCCTCACCTTTGCCTACATCCGCTCCTTCTCCTGGACCACAGCTCGGGCTCCCGGCTCCGGACACCGCCGGACCGGGACAGTTAACATCCAGTTCTGGCCTCGAGCCTGGGCAGATTCCTAGAGCGTTGGTTGGGTGCCACCTCTCCACGAGGTTGGCCACGCCCCCATTGTTTGACCACACCCACCTCCCGCGGTCAACGCAGAATCACTACTCTACGGTCTTGCTCCTGGCAAATCCACATCTCTATTGTTCATTAACCACATCTATTAAGCCAGAAGTGGTGGTGGCCTTGTCCATGAACCAGGCAATTTATTCTACGTCATACCTCTGAGACAGAGCCGCCCCCCCTTTTTTTTGTAGCTAACAACGTCCGTTAAACCAGATTTTCCTCTCTGGCCAAGCCTCAATCAGAGGGACATGCCCTCTTTTCCTGACCATGCTTCTACCCGCTGACCTTCCTAAAGTCTCTCTGATCTCTAATAGACACGCCTGTCACGTTCCTTAAGGCATAGCCACTTGTCTCCCTACCCCCGGCCCCGACTGATGACCTCATGGATGAACCAGGCCTTTCTTCCAGGTCGTAACACTGCATACAGACTCCCACCTCCATTCTTCACCGCTTCTGTTAAACCAGATCCTCTTCTGATAACTACGCTCCCACCTGATGATCTTACCCTCTAGCCTCTAATACCTGGCCCGGCTTCAGCAGCCCCATCCTGTATTGGCCACGCCCCCGGAGCATGGCCACGCCCTAATCACTGACCTCAACCTTGGAACCCTCAGTCTGACCCACTGTTTTCTGACCCTGACCCTCCTTTGGGAGTCAGGCAGCAATCAGGGTGGTCGCACCCTTTAAGTTAGAGCAGCGCTTTGCCCAGGTCGGCTTCTGTATGCCACAGCTCCCACGACCACTGTTTATTCCATATTCTGGTTTAAGATCATGCATTTACTTTTATTTATTCAGAGATTATCGCACGGGAATGCCAGGGTGCAGATGTGGAGGTCAGAGGACAACTTTCAAGAGTTGGTTCTGGCCTGCCACCAAGTAGGTCTGCAGGATCAAACTCAGGCTTGGCTCTAAGTGCCTTTACTGCTAAGCCATGTGCTTTGCCCACATTTATCGACGACCTCTGAGCACTATGGTAGACGCGTTCCCATTTTCCAGCTAATTTCACATAAAGAAGCCCAACTATTTCCAAAAAAACTAATTACAGTCCTGTGTTGTATTTTCCAAGAAACGGCAAACCTCTGCTTCCTTCTCTCTCGGACCCATATGCCAGCCACTATTGGCGGTGAGCTTGAAGACAGCCAGCCCTTCTTTTTCCTCATTTCTTGCTTTTTAAATTTAGAAATAAGGTTGTGTGCATCCTAGACTGGCCTTGAACTATGAGGTGTAAGATGACCTTGAATCTGTGTGTGCACCACAGCAGGTATGAGGTCAAATGGCAGTTCAGGGTTCCATTCTTCCCACCCTGTGGGCGTGGACATTCAGCTCAAGTTGACAGGGGTGGTAAGTGCATTTTCCTTGAGCCCTGAGTCCAGCTCATAGCCATGCTTTGTTTGTTTCTTTTGGGGTTTCTGTTTTCTGAGAATGCCTGTAGTTCCTCACGATGGTTAGTTTTTTGTTAAGTTCACATAGGCATGGGTCATCTAGGAAGAGGGAATTTCAAACTGGCCTTTAGGCAAGTCTGCAGGGTGTTGCTTTGATTAATAATTCACTGTGGGTGGTTCCACCTCTGGGCCAGTGTTCCTAGGTGCTGTGAGGCCGAGCAAGCCAATGACCAGCACTTTTCATAGTTTCTGATTCCGTTCCTGCCTCTAGGGTCTTGGCTGAGTTCCTGCTCTGATTTCCTTTCATGATGGACAAATCTCACATATCACAGTAGACCCCCCAGCCCAAGTTACTTTTGGTCATGATTGTTTTCACAGCGATAGGAAACAATCTAGGGCACCAGGCTAGCCCCAACATCTTGAGAGCTGGGGACACAAATGAGTGGTATCATTTTTACTCAAACCTTCGTTTTTTAAGAGAGCAAAACCTGGGATCCTAACTCTTCTGCCCTCGGGCACCCAGGCTCTGTCTCTATCCGGGGACAGGCGCCACTTGCGGCCACTAGTGGCTATGGAATGTGGAAACTGCCTTCTGTGAACCTTCAGAAACTCTAGGGGTCCGGCCAGCTCCCAAAGAAGCCGTGTCCTCCTCAGAAGCAAACAAGCTGCTCCAACACCTCACTTTATCAAACAGAAACAGGTTGGACCAGAGGATAGCTGTGAGTTTGGAGCATCTGCCCAGCACATATGAGACTCAAGGCTCTGAGGTTCATCTTCAGCTCTACACACATGAACAGAAACACGCGCGCGCGCGCGCACACACACACACACACACACACACACAGAGAGAGAGAGAGAGAGAGAGAGAGAGAGAGGCTAAGAGGACGGCTCAGTGGTTTGGGGCACAGGCTGCCCTTCCAGATGGGATCCCCGGATTTGATTCACAGCACCCACACCATCTGTAACTCCAGTTCCAGGGGATCCAGTGCTCTCTTCTGTCCACTGGCATACATACAGATAAAATACAATTTAAAACTCTAAAAACATAGAGTAAGAATAAAAACACATATAAACTTGGTAAAGATTATTTTGTTTTCTTGTCAATTCCACATCCTCAGCAAATACTTACATCCGGAGTGGCCCAGGCCACGTCCCCTCCTCCATCAGAACCAGGAGTCTACTCTCTTCCTCAAGTCCCGGTAACTTCTCCCTCGGTCCCAGGAAGGCCCCAGCCCTCCTCCCTCAGATCCCAGAATCCCGCTTTCGGACCCAGAGTTACAGACCCCAGCGTCCCCCCTCACAGCCAGGAACCCAGACCCGCATAACCACCTCCTCTCCCGGGGACCCAGCATCCGCACACAGTCCTTAGATGGGCTCATCTTTCCCAAAGCAGACACCTTGCCCCGAGTGTCACCGTGGGATCCCGAGCCTGCTGCCGGGCCCGCCTCCCCCCCTGCGGTCCCTCCCACTTTTCCCAAACAAAGCTCCCGGCAACTTTCTCCCGGTCTTGCCCCGCCCGCCCGCGGCTCCCCTGCCCAGGCCGGGAGGTAGGAAGGCGCCGGCGGGAATCGGGGTCCTGCTTGGGGTGTGTGGGTTGGGGTGGGGAGTTACGCGCGATGAGGTGAGGTGCGTGTTCCTGGGACCGCGTGGGAATTACCCGCCGCTCTCTTTCTGCCTTGGGGCCCGAGTTCGCGCCGGGATGCAGCCGTAGTGTGGAGCTGGAACTTTCTCGCAGTTAGCGGCCTGGGGATGGTCTGCGGCAGGGGGAGCGCGCGGGCTGGCCGGGGGCTGCAGACTCAGGGCGTGGGAGCCGAGGGCCGCGGCTGTCCGCTTGGTGCGAGGTGCACGCCTCCCGGGCCATCCTTTCTGCAAGTGTCCGCCCTGAGAGCATGTGGCCCCTTATGGAGCAGAGCAGGCGCGGGGGTGGCCGGGGGAGCGCACGAGGCCCCGTGGACCTCCGTCCGTGGCTCTTCTGAGGCTTGGGGACCCAGCAGGACGTTAGGGATGTTTGTCGTGCCCGACTCGCCTGTCTCTTTGTCTGGCCACATGGGCTGGGTGGGGATTTCAGCCTACGGGGGTCCTGAACGTCGCTGCCACACTGGGCTGGGCCTGGGGGTCTTTGTTCGCTTAACCCCCACCTGGTCGAGGGTCCAGAGGAGGGGATGGGACTCAGAACTTGGGGAGCCTGGGAAAGTTCTGGAAGACATGGGAGCTCCAGGGAGGCGGGCTCGGACAGTCTGGGAAAAGTTTTCCCTGTTCCTGGCCTCCGGAAAGTCGACGGGAACTTGGGTTGGAGCCGAGCCCAGGGGGCGGGGGCGGGGCCGTGGAGGCTGCTCGCGCTCAGGCCCCGCCCCCGGTAAGGGCCGTGGGGAACTGGGGGAGGGGATGCCTGGGCTCTTTGTTCTGGCCTCCAGATGGCTGGACCACTGAGTCCCTAGGCCTGGGGCTTGGTGGGCGTCCTAGCCCCAGCTCCGCCCGGCTCTGTGGTTGCTTTCAGGTCTCAGCCACCAAGCCACGACCGTTCCCTCTTTCCCGGTGCCTGTCTGGGTCGCTTGTCCCTGGATCTCTGTCCCCTCTGTCCCTGGATCTCTGTCCCCTCTGTCCCTGGATCTTGAACACAGCCTCTCTTTTTCCAGCAGCTGCTGCCCCTTCTTAGCACCTGTTCCTTAGTGGGACTGGAGGTTCTCACTCCTGGCAACCAACCAGACTCTGGTTAGTTGGATCGGTGATCCAAACGCAGCTTTGGTCCACATGGCCTCGGGCACCACTCCGAGGCGGTCAGGTGACTTCAGTCCAAAGCTGCTACCTCCGAAAGCTCAGGGGAAGGACAGCCTCCCAGATCCCAGGCTTAGGTTTCTCCTCCCTCAGACCCCGGGGTCTAGGCTCCAACGCAGAAGCCCAGGCCTAGCTTTCTCCCTCAGTCAGGGCTGCCTTGTTCTTGGACACCATATATAGTGCTGACCTTTGTCTCTGCAGGCCCAGATGGGGGAACCCCGGACTGGGGCCCCCCTGGATGATGGCGGGGGCTGGACGGGCAGTGAGGGAGGCAGCGAGGAGGGCGCTGGAGGCAGTGAGGGTGTCGGAGGTGATGGGGGCCCTGACGCAGAGGGTGTGTGGAGCCCCGACATCGAGCAGAGTTTTCAAGAGGCCCTGGCCATATACCCTCCCTGTGGCCGTCGCAAGATCATCCTGTCAGATGAGGGCAAGATGTATGGTGAGTCCCCTGTGGTGCCCTGACCCCAGTGAGAAAAATCACACTAACTAACGTGTCCGGAGTCCAGTCAGCGGTGGTGGTACATACCTCAAGAGTTCAGGGTCATCCTGCTGAGCTCTACATTAGTCCCATTTGTATAAGAACCTGTCTCAAAATAGTAAAAATGAGGTTGGGTGGTGTGGTGGCACACACTTTTAGTCCCAGTACTCTGGAGGCAGAGGCAAGTGAGCCGGTCTCTGCAACTTCGAAGCCAGCCTGATCTACGTAGTGAGTTCTAGAACAGGCAGGGTGATGTAGAAAGACCAATGTCAAGGGAAAAAGTCATTTGTTGG